TCTCTCGCCGCCCCCAAACCAGTCCCCACTCTATGCAGGACATGTAATACAAACTGAGCTGCACTAGGAGTCCCTCCCACTTTGAGGAGGTCCGCTCACAGGGACATAGCTTGCCCACCATAGGCTTCCTTCCCCTTGCCCTGGGAAGGAGGGCCAGTGTGCAGAGACCAGGCCAGGCCTGCCCTCCTGCACTCACTGCCACCTGCAGGTCCTCCCTTGTGGCATCTTGGCTACTGTGCACAAATTGTATTTTTCCATACTTGTCCTTGTAAAGATAAGTTAGTATCTTAGAGTCTATTTGCCTCTGTTATTTTTTTAAAGCAAGAAGGAGCAAAGCAATGGGAACACAGGACTGAGACACCTGCCAGGTGGGCAGGTGGGCAGGGGAGGCCACTGCTGCATCTGCATCTCTCCAGAGCTGGGAAAATGGGCCGTGGGCAGAAGCCAAGCACATCAGACACACACTCTACAAATCACAGGACCAGCAGATGTGGAGGTGCTCCTGGTCACGGGGAGCAGGAAGCCGGACTGAGGGCGAAGCATGCGGTCTGCGCTGTCCCCTGAAGCGAGCCGTGACAGTGCAAGCAGAAAGACAAAGCCTGGAGACAGAGTGTGGTCAGGGTTAGGGGCAGCACGGGCAATATTGACGGAGGCACTGTGGGCGAGCAGGCGAGAATGAGCACAGACAGGACATGACACAGATCGTGACGGCATATGGCAGGTGAGGATGGGTGTTGCACGAGGGGTTGGCACAAGGTACCCTAAGTTCCCCTGCAAGGTCCACCTAGCCCACACCCCACAACTTGGGGCTCAGGGCAGCTCTATTCATGCTGTCAATGGGGCCAGATGGGCATCCTGCAGCCATGGACACTGGCTCCTACAGCCCCCACTCTTTGACCCCTTCTTGGTTTCTCTCACCCTGCCCCTCAGGGGAAATCCTGACATACCCCTCACATCCCAGCCAAGCTTTGCCTAGCAGGAAGGTCTTCCATCCCACGGAGAGGCCAGGCCAGGTCTCTTGGTACAGTTTCAGTTGCATCCTAACCCTAAGCTGTGTAATTCACTAATTCATACCTGCCATCCCTCCTAAGAGCCTGCTGCAGGGACCAGGACGGTCTTGGCCACCTGGCACAGTACTGCTGAAACACCTGGACGGTCATGGCCACAGGCAGGCCCGAGAGCCCCACAGAAGGCTCAGCTCAGACCTCTGAGGTCCTTTCTGGCTCTGGCATTCTGAGGTGACATGGAGCCTATCAGACAGACAGCAAAGGTCTTCGCCAGTCCAATAGAATCGCCATCAACATGTCCCAAAGGCCAGCTGAGCCAGGTCATGTTATGGACCAAGGCATTCTATAACAGCCCTGCCACCAGCAAAACTCCAACAAAGAGGGACATGCACATAGACCCAGCCTTCCTTCACGTCAGCAGACACAGGGACCCTCCTTGTAATAGCCTCACCCTGGCCTGGAGGAGAAGGAGACCGAGACCCCAGCTCTCCCTTGGCTCTGTCCCAACTAGCCACGCAGCCCTGGGTGAGTACCCACCCGCCCTCAGCTGGGCTCCCTCGTAGCCTACAGGGTAACTGTGAGCACAGGAACGCACTACCACATCGCAAGCACCTGGCCCAGAGCCGAGCACAGAGGAAGCAAGCACCACTGTGGCAGGGTCCAATTACTTACACACTTACACACACATGTGCACACTGCATGTGCGGGAGAGGTATAGATTTTGTCCAGAAGTCTTATTATACTTTGTGTGAACATGTGTAAAAAGCAATCATTAGAAGCCCCTTGAAGGTTAAAATATGCCCCCCATGTGACTTCCTCTTCCTGGCTGGGAAGTGTCAATGCTAAGGATTTCAGCACAGTAGAGAAATCCCAAGACAGACGGGAAGCAGAAACTAGGCGGGAGTGGCCGGGCAGCGCCGCCAGGACCAGTAGCCTGTGGCTTCATTTGTTCTTTGCCTCTGCCTCTCGGCTGGCCTAAAGGGCTCCTCCTCAGCTGAGCTGTGGGTGCTCTGCCATGACAGAGTCTCAGGGGCATCTGAGGGCCCGTTCCAAGGGATTCTGACCAGAGTTCTGGACAAGCTGCAGGACGTCTCCAACCCTATGGTGGGTAGCACAGCACAAGGGTGCGGGCGGGCAGGTTCAGAACGTGAATCTGAGTCCTACTAAGAAGCCATTATCAAGTGTTGAGCTGCCTGCATATACCTGGAGCTATTTTTCCAAATCTTACACCAAGTAAGAACTGACCCTGATTTTGAAGCAGCGGCATATAAAGTGAAGAGGCAGCTCTAAGGCAGAGTCTCCTACCCATGCCCAGGTGAAGTCCTGATGCCTGGCTCCGTGTCCAGTGGGTGGCAAATTAGCCCCTGACAGAGTCTGCTGGTACAAAAGACTAGGGCCCAGAAGGCCCAAGGCCTTGGCTCACTCAGAGGCTGCTGCTTCAGAGGACACTGCCAGCCCCTCTTCTGATAGATACATCACTAGCTGGGGAGAGCTGGGGTACAAACTGAGGCAGACTGGCCACCAGGCTGGGCTTCTCCCGCCACGCAGTGCTGCCCGTTCCTCATGTCAGAGCTCTGATGACACGGGGATGACTGCGTCTCAGAAACAGCTATAATGAGGGAGCACATTTGTTTAATACTCTTGAGGAAAACATCCCACACAGGTGCGGAAACTGCAGCTCAGAGAAGTGAAGTTCCTTGCCCAAGACTTCCAAGCAAGTTGACGGTGGAGCTGGGAATGGAACTCAGATCTCCCTGACTCCAAAGCCCGCTCTGCCCTGGCCTATCTGACGTCACGTGGGTCCCTAAACTGCTTCTCTTCACCTGCACCAGGGCTCCACTATGGCCTGGAGTGGCCCTAATGCCTCGTCCTTCCACAACAGGAGACCCGAGGTTTGTCTCAGGCCGCATGTTCTCCCAGGTCCCGGCCACAGGAGGCAGGAGTAGAGGGAGGTAGTGTGGACCCTTAAGGCTACCAGCATATCCCCTGTCACCAGCAATCTGGTGCTTCTCTCTGAGCCAGGGCCTTTCCCTAGGACCTAGTGCAGCTGCTAAAGGGCCACTTTAACATTCTAAGATCATGGCTATATTAGGACCCAAAACATTTTCCTGCTGCAGACACTGCTTTTTCTCCCTGGTGAGGCGGGGGAGAGTTCTGAAAGCACCGTGCAGCCCGGCCTACGCAGAGCACAGCATGGCCAGTGCTGGGCTTTCCTGCCCACTGCGCTGGGACTGGGCAAAGGTGGGCTATGGGTTCTCAATGGCTCCATCATGCAGACAGGAATCATTTTGGAAAAAAAATTTTTTTTTTACTATCATTGAAAATCCATTTGTATGGCTCCCTCTGCAAACTCCTACAACAAATACCCATTATATTGGCACCAGGATGTGTCGCAACGGCACTGGGCCCCAGCACCCTTGCTCCCCCACAGCTCCGCACACACGCGTGCACCAGACATGGGGATGGCTAGGCAGCCAGCAGTGCCAGGTGGCGTCACAGCTCCTTTCTAAGGCAGTCTTGCCTCCCTCCCTCTCCGCTCCCCGGGGTGCCACACCAGAGGCAGCATACCCAGCTCTGCAGGCTGACACAGCCAAGCACAATTCCTGCTGCCTGGGTTTGGCTCAAGCCTGCAGGGCTGAGGAAGGCGCCGGCCCCAAGCCGTGCACAACTGCAAGCAGTCCTCTCTCCTGAAAACCGGCAGAGTGCTCAAGCCTCACAAGAAGTACCTGGCAGACACAAATCCCCAGAGCAGGATTTACTTCCAATGTGTTTTCTCAATATTTTCATGAGTAAAAGGTTGGGAATAGGGTGGTTTTCCTATTTAACTTAAGTTAAATAAGAAGCGAGAAGGACCCTACTTGGGGAATGTCGGCAGGACTGAAGCAGGAGGAGCAGGCAGGCCAGTTGCTCCCATCTCTGCTCAGCCCTCTGGGTTGGTGAGGGAGGGTCCAACAGCCAGACCGGAAGGAGGTGATGGAACCACACAGCACACACTTAGATGTGCAGCCTCTCAACACACGCACTGTGGGTCAAACTGAACCCGGAGGGGTACTTACAAGTGTCCTTGCCTCTCAGATCACCAAATTTCCCCGGGCCCAGGCCAGGTGAGCACTGCCACCTTGTCATCCTTTGCCAACTCTTCTCTAAACCTGCTCTCAACCCTGCTCACTCAACAATACCTGTGCTTTCCAGGAACCCATGCATTGGATGGCTAGGGGGTCCCACCGCCCCGGGGAAGGCAGAGCAAAGCTCACTTCCCACAGCCACAATGAGATGAGCGACATGTAAGGACCTGGGTGTCTTTCAGCGTTGTCACTACCTCCACAAGACTCCACTTTAATGGCCCTCTTAGTCCACCAATTTGGCTCATTCCAGCAAATACAGCTCATCACTGTAAATGTGAGGAGAACATGAAGAAGTTGGGCTATGAGGTCAGCATGCAAGCCTCCTAATGTTAGTAAGGAATGTGGTTGAACAGTCGCCACCTGCCCCATCCCACATGGGATGGCCTTGTACAGTCCCAGTTGACACCCCCCCCCAACCTGTCTGGATTCCCAGGGGTGACAGACTCAGCACCAGTGACAGCCTTGCCATGACCGCCAGAAGGGCTGCCGCAACGATGCAGCCGACTGCACAGGCGCCACTCTAGGCCGCCCGCAGACACGGAGCAGCAGGCCCACAGAGTCTCCAACTGCTCTTCGACGCCCCCATTTTGCAGGTGGGAAAATGCAGGCTCAGAGAGGCAAGGTGCTTTAGCCTGCCCCACTCCACTCTGGCTCCCAGGTGGGTGAGCTGGCAGGTGGCGACCCTGAGCATGTCTTGGAAGCACAGAATCACCGTGAGTCCATGAGGTTAATGAACAGCCACAACATTGCCCGTGTCACCCCAGACCCAGCACCCCCCTCACCAAAACAAAGCGACTGATCACCCAAAGCTCCCACCCCCAATTGGCGTGCCGCCCTGGGCTGGCAGTAGGGAGAACAGGGACTGTACCGTCCGGCGTTGCCTGCTGGTGGGGTTTTTTACATTTGACGTAATCGTGGTCAATCGGAGTGGCTGTGTAAGGTGGGGATGTCAGACCTGGGCCAGAGGAGGAGGGAAGGGAGGCTCCGGGGCCCGGCAGTGTCCCAGCTGAAGAGCGGGAGTCCTCATCCACCAGGCAGGCCTTCTCCCTATGGGGCAGAGGATTGGGGTGCAGGTCAGAACCTCCACACAGCACTGAAGGATGTGTACAGGTCTGGAACATGCCTTTCTAAGCTGTCCCCAACCCACCCTTCCTGGGGCCCACCGCTCCCATGCACTTCCCACCACTGCTTGAGCTGGTGTTCCAGGGCATCAAAGAATCCACCCACATCGCACCCACTGCGGCTCAGCCCTCACGTGTGGCTGGGCTCTGCAGGTGTCTCAGGTCTCAGGCCCCGGGGACTGGGGGGAACCTGACAAGGCCCGCCTCAGAAACTGCCCACCCTAGCTCCCTCCACACCAAGTCAGTGTCCTTCTGTGCAGTGCCCAAGGCTGACAGGTTAATAGGACAACCAAAGGCCACTGGCAGTCACTAGAAAGAAGGGGGAAAGTGGGGTACTGCCTCTGTGGCCTGGGTCCCAGACCCATTACTGGTAGTTCATTTTTATAAAACAAATCCTATCATAGTGTGTATATAGGTAAGTGTGTAAGTGTACAGAAAATGATGTGAGAAACTAAACTGTGAGTAGTGGCTAACTTGGGGAAGAAGAAGGGGTTGGTTTGTCTGTATGTTTACAAACTGCTGGAATTTTCTATAATTGTTTAACAGAATATATTCATCTATCATTTGTGTAACTTTTAAATTTTCTGAAAGAGAATTATGACCAATAAAAGACAACATCATGAAGTTGGGGGCCCTTTGTCACTGAAAAATACATTATCTATAACTTCTGGGCATACTGCATCCACCTGTGTGACCTGTCACGTGTGTGCCCATCTCCCCCACGTGTGTGCCAGAGCCTGGGCGCTGGTCCCACCAGCACTCAGCTGAGCCCTGCTGAGCCCTGCACAGAGCCCAGCCAGGCAAAGGCCCATAGGTGGCGTGAGCTAAGCCAAAGCTCCAGGAAACGGTTGCCCACAGATACAAGTCACACTCAAGAAGAGGCCTTGAGGAGATCTGCCCCAGGCCCAGTGAGGGGCCACACCAGGGTCCCAGCATCCTCAAGTCCTCTGACACCACAGAAAGAGCCCGTGCCTCCCACACCCCTCCCTCTGCTTCTTGGACCGATGGGCAGCAGACCAGGCCCTCAGAAGGCCCCCATAAGGATCCAGAAGCAAGAGTCAGCAACGTGAAAACTGCTCTCCCACAGTGTTCTTTCTGCACAAGCAGAGCTGCCCCCAGTGGGGAGGGGAAGGAGTTGGCTTTTCTCCGGGACCTGGCCTGGAGGTCGAGGTAGACAAGGTGTGTTCAGAGGGTAGGTTATTGGAAACATACTCAGCCTCTCCTACTCGAGTTCAACAGAAACATCTATCAGCCCAGCCACTGGAAATCTCCAGATGAGATCCAGAAACTCCACGAACTCTGGTTTACTCAGCAGTACCCCTTGAGCACCACTTTGCCATATATAAACCATACACAGGGGATAGGGTGGCTGGATGAGAGTAGGCTACTCACTTTTCTGAAGCTTTGGGTGTATTCTTCTCCTCGCCCCTGGCAAAGGGTCCTTCTGCAGCCTCCTTCATGAAGTTGACCAGGACCTCCGCACCAACCCCAAAATCGGGCTTCCCCAGGAGCTTCAGGATGGAAGCATGGAGCCGGAAGTACACCTAGGGTGACACTCGGGTATGAGCAGCCCTCCCAGTTGCTCAGGTTTTCCATGGGCTAGTCAGCCACACAGGAAGCGGGACTCCGACAGGGAAGACGGGCCACCACACACTACCTTTTCTTGTTACGTTTTTAAACGAGCCAATCTATCATTCATTTAGAGCAAGCTCTGACAATTCACATGGACACCAACTATCAGCATTCCAGCCCAGGTTTGTGGTGATAAGATAATGAGAATTACAACCCCTCAGTTATGCTCACTGGGCCTCTCCGCCCATCAAAGCACACGCTGCCCTCTTTGTGCCCGTCTCTTGCACCCGTAGCAAGGGAGCTTCCAGGCCTGACTGGTGTGGCTCAGTGGGTTGGGCATCATCCCACAAACCGAAAGGTCACCAGTTCGATTCTTGGTCAGGGCATATACCTGGGGTGCGGGTCAGGTCCCCAGTGTGGGCGTGGTGAGAAGCAACTGATTGATGATTCTCTCACACATCGATGCTCCCCTCTCCTTCTCTCCCTCCCTTCCCCTCTAAAGATAAATAAAATCTTAAAAAAAAAAAAAAAAAAAAGGCAAGCTCTCACACCTGTCTCCTCAGTGGACAGCAGGCTCCTTGAGGCAAGGAGTAGGCTGGACTTGTTTGCACCCCAGCACCTGGGCAAGCCTGGAAGCAGGCCTAAGAAGCTCCACCCAGTGCATCCAGGGCAGGCAGAAGACTTGCAGAGTCTGTCAGGTCCTGTTCTTTCTTTCACTTCCTCAAATCGACTTACAAATGTGTGAAGTGACTTGCCCAAGGTCTTACAGGAAGAAAGCCCAGGGTCAGGTTAAACCCAGGTCCATCCTGTCTCCTGCCCTTTACTGTCCCCAAGCACCTCCACAGGCAACCTGGCCTGACCTTCCCACCCAGGAGCAGATGTAATGCCAGCTCCCACCTGTGACATATGCTCCTTCAGATGGCATAAGGGGTGCCGCAAGGGCTGAGAACCACTGTGGCCACGGGCCCAGATTAACCGGCCTCGCCTCACCCTGAGGTGGTTCTCAAGAGATGTTGCCAGGGACCCACCCAGGCATCCCAGACAGAGGGGCTCCCATCCGGAGTCCCTCCCCGTCTAGGCCACCCGTGGACACAGAGGAATTGGCCCGGCAACGCCATTTTCAGACATAGGAAACCTCTGAGGCACCACACATGTCCAGGTGGCCACATGTGGTGGAGGGCAAAGCGTCCAACTGGCAATGTTAATCCTGGCAGCAGGTAAAGTGTTCTGAACGAGGGCTCAACAGCAGAGGGGAGTTTGCGCAAGGGTAAGGTTGAATTCTTAAGAGAAATGCCACTTTTAAAGCAAGACAGACACATGTTCCAACTGAGCATCAACTTCCCGGAGAGCCAGCGTGGTGTGCTCCGGGAGGGCAGCGCACAGCTGAAGCCCCAGTCCCTCATCTGGAAGTCCTTGGGTACCGCTCTGCCCGCTCACTGCTTCTATCAGGCAGCAGCAGAGGCCGGAAGTTGAAGAAAAAACCATGGAAGGAAAGCAGAGTTGTCATTTTCCTGAGTCCTGGGGCACCTCCCACTGCAAGAGGGTTCAGCGCTGCCCAGAGGTGCCTCCTGAGAGCCCCGGGCTCGGCGGGGTCTGGCCCCAGCCGCCCTTCTCTCCGACAGCTGACTTAGGACAGGTCATGGCAGCCCTCTGGGCCTCAGGCTTCTCATCCCCAAGTGGAAGTCCCTCCAAGAACAGGCACATGAAGCCTGAGTGAAAAGCATGAAAGAGCTGTGATGGGGAAGGACGAGACCTGGGCTGTGAAGGACAGCACTCAGGGAAGCGCTGAAGACACGCGTGATAGGAAGTTTTCCAGATGAAACCCTCCCCCATGAATAAGGCCCCAAAACAGCTGCAATAAACCATTCAGTACAAGTCATTTTAAAAAGGTAAATTTTTTTAAAATGAGGCTTTTTGCTTGCTCACAGGATTACTAAATATTAAAAGGAGGATACTAGCTAAGTTGATGAAAAACATCAAAGTTCATAGATCAGTACAACCCTTTTGGGCAATGAGACATTGTTGATCCAGTGTTAAATGACCCTTGGAAATACCCTTGATCCTTGAACAATGCCTGTTTCAACTAGGCAGAGATATATATCGATATATCTATCTATATATATATGGATTTTTTTCAATTGACCTGTGCAGTTCAAACCCACATTGCTCAAAAGTCAACTGGCGGTTGGGAATCTGAGCGTGTGGAAGGTCAACCGTAGGTATACATAAGTTTTCGACTGCATGGGCAGTCAGTGCCTTTAACCCCCTCATTGTTCAAGGGTCAATTGTACTCAGCTGAGTGTTTCCTGATATGTGTCCAGGGCCATGTCCTGCCTGCACCTGTCATGGAAGAGGTGGAAGAGAAGGCCAAACCCACAAGGAAGGGGCCAGACAAATACAGGGATGCCCCAGCCAGATTACAGGGCACAGGGCACAGAAGGAAGCCCACAACTCCTCTACTACATCTTGTCCAATGAAAAAAGCAAGTCACAAAGTGATAATGTATCTATATGTTAATAGGAAAAAATCTAGAAAGATAAGGACTTGCTCAAACTGCACATACGTATCACTGGGAAGTAGGGACTAGATTCACTGGAGACTTTTAACTGTTTTTAATCACTTCTGAGCTGGTGATTCTTGTTATGGTTTTCAACCATGAATATCTGTTAATTTTATAATCAGAAAAACTGCATAAATACAGAAAAGACTTAAGCAAGCAGATTCTGCCCCAAACTCCAAGAAGCTGGGCGTGTGGGTCCTAGGAGAGCTGGGCACACAGCCTCAGAAAGGGCAAAGCTAATAAGCTCTGGGCCTCAGGAGGCAGAGAGCCCAGGGCCAGGCCAAGCACATCTGGGTCCGCACCCATGTCCTGAGCTGCCTCCCCGCAGAATGTGCTCGTCACAGCCACCCAACCCACCTCACAGGACTGCCATGAGCACCACTGAGAGCATCATGTGAAATGGTGCAGAAAACACAGCCAATGCAAGGAGTAAATGAGTGCTCTCTGTTCTTGGGGAGCAGCGGAAGACCCCGAATCTGGGGTCAAGAGCACAGGCTGTTCCCCTGCCTCAGTCCTGCCAAGGCAGGCCTCAGACATCCCACCGCACCCTGAGCGCAGGGTGCCTGCCTGCCTCCTGCCGGGCTGCAGGGCATGAATGCTGCACTGCACTGGTGCCATCAGGCCAGGTTCTCGGAACCTGTGTGCGCTACGGAAGAAAGGCCATTTTCTTCAGGGAGGTAAGAGCAAAATGCTCACTCTCCCAAAAAGGGTTGTGAGCACCCCTTAGGAAGAGAGAGGGAAGTCTGCTTTAATTGCACACAAAGCTGCTAAACACAGAGAAGTTTCCAACGGGTTGCAGGGGTGAGTCACTGGGACCACATGCCCTACCCCCAGGGAGAGAGAGAGACCAGCCCACCCCTGCCCAGCTTCCCCACCCAGGGCCAGCGCAGTGTCACCTCCAGGGCCTCCATGGCCAGCTCAGGTGGGTTGTGGTAGTGGATCTTCTTGGGGTAGCGAGCAGCCTCCTCATGCAGGTAGTGGGCAGCCTGCCTGTAGTGCAGCAGGTAAACAGTGGGCGGCTGCTGCTGCTTCTCAGCCACCTTGCCCAGCATGTAATGGATGAGCCACTCCTCCTCATCACCATCACCCTCGCAGCGGGCCGCCGACGTGAAACAGTGCCTGGCTGTCTCTAGCATGCTATCGCGCCGGCCCTCCATCTGTAACGAGACCACGAGACCGGGCCGGCCTTGGGTGCATGCCCGGAACCTGCACAGGATCATGCCTTATGTTGTACAAAGCCCTGCTGCCTCGTTTGCAAATCGGTAACCCTCTCAACAACCCTGAGACACAGAAGTGCTATCACCATTTTACAGCTGGGACACTGTGGAGAAGCCTACAGACTCCTTAGAAGCCCGCATCAAGTAAGGCACAGAGCCAGACTAAAACCCAGGTCACCTCATGTCAACCCCATGTTCTTTCTTCTACCTTCCCCTGCAATATCTAATAGTTTAAGCCTTTATGATGTACCTACTGACACCCTTCTAAAGGTCCCAACTGTGACCTCTGTGGCTGCCGTGAGGGCCTGTGCCTGGGAGAGGAAGATGCCATGGGGCTGGGGCTGGGGCTGGGGCTGGGGCTGCATGCGCCGCCGGCCATCACTGCCAGGAGGACTAAGCCAACAGTGGCTCTGCCACAGCAACCTGAGGAGGCCAGGTAACCAGAGCTGACATAATGAGAAGAGCTGCCATTGCAGGTGGTGAGTACCTTGTTCTCTAACCCTCTCGCTAGGGTGGGCAAGCAAAGCTGGGGAAGATGCGCACCCAGCACCCAGCTGCACAGCACTGGAGAGGATGTACACCCCTGGGGTCCAACAGGACTTCCCACCCTCTCTCCATACCCTTCCAGGGAACTAGGGTGTTTATAAAGGGCAGACTCCAGGGCCCCACCCAAGCCCCGCTGACTCAGAGCCTGTGCGTCAGAAGCAGCACCTCCAGCTGCCCTCTCACACACTACAGGCGGACACTGCTAGGACAGAGTCAGCTGCTGAGAGGCTTTCCAACTCAGAAAGCCACCTTTCCCGTCCCTATATGAGACTCTGGGCCAGCATCCTGGATGCTCTCCATACAGGAGAGCACCCTATCAGGTGCACCCATGTCCCTTCATCCCAGAGCTCCCGAGCTGGCAGCTGAACCCAGCCTGCGTGGGGCACAGAGGCAGCTGTTTTGAGCACCCCAGGCCTCCAACCTCTTCTCTCCATGGTCCTGGCTCAATGGCAGGCAGGCCGCAGCCTCTTCTTATCTCATCTCAGGAGCTAGAGGAAGGCAGAGGCTTTGGGCACTAGGCTCTGGTAAGGGTGCTGCTCGCAGCCTGGGAGAGCAGGACCTCTGTTCCATTTGTGCATGGGGATGGGAAGGCTGCTCTATGAGCATCTGTCCAGTGGATGCTTATTTCTGTGACTCTCCTGTAGCAGTGGCCCTGGGGCTGACACAAAGAAGGCTAGTGATAACCCTCGTACTCTGCTAGACACTTCCAGGGAAAGAAAATTACCACATGGGAATGAAGGAACCGACACTAGGTGAAATACGGTAGGGTAGAAAGAATCATGGTACGGAGCTAAAATATGGCACAAACCAAGTGACTCCATCATTAACCTACCCAAATGGGATCCTGCAGCAAATCTGTGCAAGTAAAAGGCAGGCGTTTACATGAAGTCCTTCTATTCTGACTGCTCTGTAGCTGTGTGGTTTTAACCAAGTCATTAGCCCTCTGCCCAACCAGCTCTGCCACTGGGGCTCAGATGGCCACCTACTGAGAAAGGAAGGGTGACTGCAAAGAGCCCCCCTAACCCGGCACCATGAGGAGCCTCGTATAAAGGACACACTGCCAGTGTCCCTGTCCTTCGCATGTGTGGCAATCGGAACACCTCCGACAGGGACAGGAGGGACAGCCACTGAGGATCTTCCCAGTTTCAGAAGCTCTGCTAGACCCCCTCACACCACCTCTCCATCCTCAGGGCAGGAGGTGCACCCTCTGTGTGGCACCTCGTTCACCTCGTGGCCAGGGCGCCTAATCCAGAGTGGGCCAGTCAGAGGGGCTCAGGAGATGATGGCTGTCAAAATAGTTCCACGAAGAAGGAACGGTCAGCTCATTTATAGCCAAAACCAAAGCAAGGATGTCAAGGTCTTCCCTCAGGCCACACAGCTGGCCCTGAATTTGCCCACCCCGGACTGGGTAACCAAAGACCAGGGACCAAGCTGCCACTGACCAAGGCTGAGTCTTCTGGGGAGAATCATCCATGAGCTCCCAGCATGGCCATGAGGACAAAAGGGAAGAATGGCCAGGACAGAACTTTGCCGACCCAGGGCCCTCTGTCAGACAGCTGGGGGGCAGCCCTTCCACAACACCCCTCCTTACCTGCTGGACAAGCTCGGAGGGCAGCTCACCTCTCCACTGTTTCAGCTGGCGGGAGGCAAAGGAGTGCAAAGCGTAAGACATGGTACCATATTCGATCCACAGGGACAGGTTGGAGCTGTCGATCTCCAGGGCCCGCCGGAAGCAGTTCAGGACAGGCGTGGCATGTTTCCAGATAGGCCCGTCGCTCTTCAGCTCGTTCGAATTCAGCTTGTCCTGAATGCGACTGGCCCGGGCCAGGGCCATACCTGCCCAGGAGTCGAACCTGTGGTCATGACAAAAGCACCAGTCAACACACCACTGCCCTTACAGCAGTTGCAGACATGACAGCCTGGAGAGCAAGGCAAACAGCCACCATGGGAGCCCACCTCCCACCCCAGCTCTGTCCTTCACGAACTCTATGACTGTGCCCAATCGTGTCTCTGGGCATCTTTTTCTGATCTGTGAAATACAGCTAAGACAACCTACCTTGAGAGGAGAGCTGCTGGGGCACCACAAGACATGTATTCTAAGTTCAGGAGCACCTTGCCGGCACTCAGTACCTGCTCCAAAAGAATCACTAACTGGAGCTCAAACTGGGCTCTCCAGCACGATGGGCTCCTGGCCTCTGCCCCCCACCTTGAGGGGTTACCCACAGACTATTTCTGCTGGGGAGGAAAAGGGGTGTCCTACAAGGCATTGAAGTAACGGCCCCAACATTACGGGAAGGCTCCCGTCCAGCTATACGCCTGCACTGGGGGAGCGTGCCGTCAATACACTCCCTGAGCACGGGGCAGCCAGGACCCCTGAGACCACGGCCCCCAGCTTCCGGCCCGTCCTCCCCCTGGGCCCTCTGCGGCGCAGTTCCTAGCAGCGAGACGGAGTATGACGGGACACGTGGTGCTGGGCCTAGCATTCTGAGAGCACCTGAAAGAAAATGGGGCTGAGAATGCAGAAGCCTCTCTGAAAGGATGAACGGCCACAGAGACATCAAGACCAAGACAATTTCTGGGCACTTGAGAGAGTCTGGAATTTTCTGAGTGCTAGTACAGAGAACAGAAGGGCAGCAATCCCACGCAGATGCTATCCTCCATATGCTGACAATCCTTAACCCACTTCTACGCTAACTTTAAAACTGGCTCGCTGATTTCCTCAAGTATTTGACAGTCCCCAAGATGTGGCAAGGACAAAGGAAACTTGTGAAGCTCACATGTACTTTGCTGCACTCCAGGCACCCAAAGATGAGAAAAGTGTGAATAAAGGAGACCTAAAGGCTTAATGGTGATAGAAGGGCAGCAAAAATGAAGGCCTTACCCTTCACATGGGGGTTACTGAGTGTACCCTTTTCTCCACAGAGGCCTGGGGATCCAGGGCCACCAGCCTCCCCCAGCTCTGCTCAGGCTGCCCTGGGGAACGGAGCGAGGGAGGTGTGTCAAGCTCCCCTCTGGATGCCAGGAACTGCATTACGGACTGTCAGCCAGGCCCGCTCCTGTCGCACTGGGCACTCTCTTTCCTTCCAGAGCGCCTTCAGCAACTCCTTTTTCCCTCAACTTAGGGGACTAGACCACATCAGGGCGTGTGCCCCTGTGCCTGCAGCAATACCAAAATGAAAACTGCTACCTCCTGTCACAAACGCAAGTAACCAAGAACATAGACACATTGCCACAAAAACTTAAAATGATCCTTTGTGTGCTACCAAGAGCCTTGTTCCAATAGGGGTTCCTGATTCTAACAGAGCACTGCACAGCCCACACTCTCAGTGCTGACCTGAAGGGACATTGAGGCCCTGAGGGGTGGTGACACCGTGGTTTCAGAAGGAGGCGGTGTCCAGAGCCCGTGTGCTGGGCTCTCGCTCACAGGGCAGGCCTGGCCCTGGCGCTTTGGCAGTGGGATGAGCTGTACTAGGGACTACGCCCAGCCTCCCTCTTCCCAAATGCCACTCTCCAAAACGCCTGGCCATGTTGGGCCTCTTCCAACTCAGCAAGAAAAGGAATGGTGAACGTGGTGGAAGAAGAAAAAAAAAAGAGCACAACAAAACACGTCACTAGCATCCTCAGACTGTGCTCCCACAGGAGCCACCAACAAACGCTGCAGCTGGGACATTCCACTGGCCACTGAGTCATCTGCTGTGGGCTCCATTTGTGTCTAGTAGTCTCAGAAAATTTAAAGAAAATAAAATATCCAAACTTCCATTTTGGCTAGCCCAAAAGAAGAGACTGAGTCCATCTCCCTGGAGTGTGCCCGTAAGGGCTGGAATGAAGGAGGCCCAGGACCGGGCCACCAAGTCCTTCCTGGTCCTGGGGCAGGTCCTCACAGGACACTCCACTTCTCTGGCAGGGCCCTTGGTGGGCTGGGCCTGCTGAGTTGATACCCTCTGAACAGCTGGGTGTGCAGGCTGGAGGAAGGCCCAGCTGAGCTGTTGCAACTCTCACTTGGCTGACTGAGGGACTATCACGTGAGAGGTGCCACGCCAGAAAAGATGAGTGTGATCACCCTCATTTTCCAGACATGCAGGCAGGAGCGCAGGAGGCGATTCCTCACTGTTCCGCACAATGACACTCCGCCAGCCTGAGTGCTGGTCTCCTCTACCGCACCGGGCCACAGCGACCTGGGAGAAGACAGCCAAGGCCACTCACACATGGCTCCCTGCCTGGAGGAAACCATAGGCTGAGCAAAAAGGGTCAAAGCCTTTCCCACAAGCTATGAAGTCCTAAAAACTGCTTTCTACACTCAGACCCCAGCACCTTGTCCCCATGGCCAGGTGGATCCTGACAAGGTGGAAAAGGTGGCTCATCCATGGTTCGAGGGTGACCACCATGGGGCGGCCCCTAGTTACTTCCAGGAAAGCTGCCTACAGATGCTAGCCTGGACCCTTCACATGCACACCAGCTGCAGAGGGTGGCCTTGTTTTGACCTTGACCCAAGGTTTACCTCCTAGGTGTGGCAGCCATGAGAAAATATGCCCGCTCAATCAAGCAAATCAGACTTTATAAGCTTAGCATCCTATCATCCTATCTCAGGACGTGCAGACAAATCACCACATTTTAATAAAAAGCTACCCGGGCACAGTGGGAAGGAAGCACGAGCCTGATGCGCAACGGGCTCTAGTGCACTTAGCACTGCGACTGTCGCTACTGCCAACAGCGCACTGCATCAGAGAGGGAACGAGAACTCCTGCTTTGGTGTTTCAATTACTCCCCGCCCCAAAATGAGAAAACCACCGTAATTAAAGACATTGCAATGGAAGAAGGAGTACACATCAGCCAACCTCCCAGTACAGGAGCTAGAAAAGGGGATGGCACACAGCCCATGTGGAGCCAGGCTGCACATCCTTGCCCTGCAGGTCAGGTCCAGATGGATGCCTTCTCTGATCCCAATGCCAATCCCAAGGGTCTTCCAGAAAGAGGCTTTCTCTGTTGTTTTTCTTTTTATGGAGAGACTTTCCTATTAATTGTAGAGTCTAAGCCACCTTGTCATTCCTTCTCCCCTGGCCTTCTTGCCATGGTCAGGAAAGAGCTTGTTGAGCTACAGTGTCCCTAATTGCCCCAGCAGGTTGGCCTCACACCAAGGTGACTGGCCCCAGCCACCCACCTGTCAGGGCAGATGCAGATGTCATGCATGTAGAACTTGATGGCCTTGGACTGCTCCTTGTTTTTAAAATGGTAATCGGCCAGCAGGTAGTAGAGCTCATTCACTACTGGAGGGGAGGGGTCAGCCCCTTCTGGGAGGCAGGGCACCTGGCAGGTGAGAGGACAAAAATAAGAGGAGGTGGAGCCAAGGATTCAATGTAACCAGTGATGCTTCAAACCCAGGACCATTCACATCAGCACAGGACAGGCCCTCACTTCTCATGGCCCTGACTTCTGGTGCAGAACCAAGGCACATAAGCAGCAGTAAGGTAAGCAAAGGTTAGACATAAGCCCCCACCTCAGCCGAGGTCCCCTCAATGTATGCAGAGACTTTGTCCAGGCTCAGGGCCGGCCTCTCTGTGCGGGGCACAATGGTGGCAATTCTCTTCAAGAGGTTAGCCAAGTCGGCAGAGACAGTGCTGGTCTTGTAGCTGTCAAATTCAGGAAGAGTCTTGGGCTTAAAATATTCAAACATAAACAAGGCATCCTCCCACATCAGGTCCACCTTGAAAAAAAGAGAAGATTGATCACAGTGTGGTCAGGGCAAAGCACAAAGGGAAAGTTCTTCCAAGGAATGGCAGTGTAGGTGTAGACAAGGTTACAATGTATCAGAGAGTCTGAAACAAGTCCCACAGCCCTGCTTGGTGAGCTCCTGCACTGAGTACCTGCCCAGGGAACCAAAGGGTCATCAGGGCACATTCCTGGGTTGCAGGCAAGGTCCCCAGTGGGGGCATGTGAAAGGCAACCACACATTGATGGTTCTCTCCTTCTCTTTCTTCTTCCCTTCCCCTCTCTCTAAAAATAAATAAATAAAATCTTTTTAAAAATAAAACAATTCCCACATACTTTGAAAAATCTGCATGCCCCCTGTAATCCCCAAACCCAAACCCCAGTATGTGAAGAGCAGCAAGTGCACTGGCTTCCTGATTTTTTTAAAGAAAAATCCTGGACATGCTGGAGATGCTGGAGACTGAGGGCTGCACTTTGTGAATTCATGTGACTGTGGCCAGGCCAGAGGGTGGGGATCGTGGGCCACTGACCCTCTATTTGCCTCGGCCGCCCGCCATTTGGTTGACAAATACTGACCCGGTGCTTGCTCTGGGCCAAGGCGGGTCCACATTCTGTGCAGTGGCCACAGCAGGGGCCCTGCCAAAAGGAGTTTACATTTAGGGGATGGAATCTGTAAGATCAGAGAATAACTGAGAGTATTGCTGAGTCATAATACTCCCAACAGTGCTCTGAAAATCAAAACAACAAAAAATGAAAAACCTCTAAGAAATTATTCATATTATCCAAATTGTTAAAAGAAAAGCTATTAAAAATTGCCATGCTGCTCTCTTGAATGATGAGTGAACCCTTATGAAGCCACTTGTGCAAGGATCAGATTATGTCAGGCCATCTTCTCGTGCTCCTGATACAACTCAAACCCAGGACTTCGGAGCTGCAAGTCTCACCCTGGGAGTGCTCAGAGCCCTGCTTCCCTGAGGTCCACTCTTCCCGGCAGGGGTGGGAGCAGCGGGCCTGGTGTGGCGCCTCACCTGCTGGGCAGAGTGCTCCTCCAGGTACCTGGCCTTGCTCTTCTTGCTGGGGAAGCTGTACAGGCAGTAGAAGCACTGCTCCAAGGCTGTCTCCAGCTCCTCCTTATAGGGGTGCATGTCTTCAGAGGTGGATGCAGCAAGCTCCTTCTGGAGAACTCGTACCTACAGCGAGTGAAGAGAGGCCTGAGGAGAGGGCCCAAGGCCTCCCTGGCACAGCGGGGCCCCAGGATGACCACCACTCTATCAACTCTGTTAACCTGAGTGTCTGCCGGGCCCATTTTCTGGAAAGGGCCTGCCTTCCTCAGGGGAGCCATTCTGGACCAGCCCTAGGAGTGGCTTAGTGAGGGGCTTGCCAAGCAGGCTCTCTCGGCACACCCAGTCTGCTTCTACCTGCTGCTAGAAGGAGATATCATATGCCCTCTGAGAAATTCTTACTCATTCCTTTATCACTTCTTTTGCTCCTCAAATACTTACTGAGCACCTTTCTAGGCTAAGCCCAGGGCAACACAGTCCCTGCTTTTAAGAAGCTCAGATTCCAATGGAGGGCAATTAATTAAACAAATAGTTACAATGTGAGATGATAAATCCCATTAGGGCGGAGGAAACCTCTCTCAGACAAACCATTAGTGAGGATTACAGAGGATAAGGACAACACAGTTAAAAAGTGGTGTCTGTGGATAGCAGATCTAATTGCTATGGTTATGCCCAACTATTAGCAAATACACATTCTTTTCAAACATCCATGATGAGATTTTGACCAAAAACTAGAAAAAGAGCAAGTCTCAACAAGTACCAAGGACTAGATATGATACACGCCACATCCTCAGAATATAATTCAATAAAATTAGAAATCAACTACCAAAAGATAGTAAATACCAAATGTCAAAATTATGGCATATAGCTAAAAATGTACTTGGGAAAAAATTATAACCTTCAATACATGTATTAGAAGCATGAACACTAAAATAATCATTCACACCTCAGTAAGTTAGAAAAAACACAAAGTAAATCCAAAAAAGAGAAGATTAAAAAAAGCAAAAAACAAAATTTTTTAAACCCACAAATATAATAATAATAATAATAAATATTAAAGTGGCAATTAACTAGAAAGCAAAGAAAAAAATAGAGCAATAAACCAACAGCTGATAGTTCAAAAAAAAAATTAATTTAGATAAACCTCAGAAAAGATTGGTTTTAAAAGAGGGGTAGAGAAAAGACAATTTTAGCAATGAAAAAAGAGTCATAACTAGGGGTAGCACAGAGACATTTTAAATCATAAGCAAACATCATGAACAATTTTATGCTTAAGTGGACACTATTCCAAAACATAACTGACAAGAAGAGAAAATCTAAATCAACCTATACAATAATGACTAAAGAAAAAGAGACAGCAGTTTAAAAATTATCCCCACACCCCTCCCCCCAAAAAAGAGAGAGAGCATTAATTAGATAAGTGACAAACTATGACCCACGGGACAAATCCCACCATTGTCTTTCTTGCCCAGAAGCTAAGAACAGCATTTTCATTTTTAAATGACTTTAAAATATCAAAAGAAAAATATGACTTTGTAACACCTGAAACATGAAATTCAAATTTCAACATCCACAAGTGTTTACATAATGTCTTTACTATGTATCCTCTATGGCTGCTTTTGCACTACAGTGGGAGCACCCAGTAGTTCCGACAGAGACCTGTGACCTACAAAGCCTAAGAGATTTACTATCTGTCCCTTTACAGAAAAGTTTTGTTAAGCGCTGGACAAGAAAGTAAGACAAGAAGAAAATAAATAAATATCGAAAAAAAGAGAAAAAACTGTTATTCATTGACAATATATGACTGCCCACATAGAAAATTCAAGAAATCTACAACCCACCAGAATTAATAAAAGCAATAAGCAAAGAAGCTGTGCATAAGAGAAACTTATTTTTTTTTATTTGACTTTGAGAGAGAGAGAGAGAGAAGAGAGAGAAAGAGGGAGAAACATCAGTTTGTTGTTGCACTCACTTATGCATTCATTGGGTGACTGTTGTATGTGTCCTAACTGGGGATCAAACCCACAACCTCAGTGTGTCCAGACAATACTCTAACCAACTAAGCTATGTGGCAAAAGCAAAAAACTTATCTTTTTAAAAAATAGTGTTCCTATGTATCTGCAAAAACAAAATGGAAAATTTAATTTTTAAATATCTATTTACAGCAGTAATAAAAAAAATACCTAAGTATAAATCTGACAAAATACATATGAGTTTTAAAGAGAAAATTATATAACCATATTAAGGAACATGAAAACATAAGACCTAAAAAAGGGAGATCACATGTTTATAACTGGAAAGACTCAAACATATAAAAATCGCAGCTCTCCCCTAAATTAATCTGAGGTCAATGCTGTTCCAATCAAATTCCAATAGGTAGAGGCTTCACAGAACTTTTCCTAATCAATCTTACAATGTTTTGGAATAGGAAAGGGTCAAGGATAGCCAAGAGAATGTGACTTTTTGTTTTTATTAGAAGATCAGTTTACAGCAAATACAGCAGGTAGTTAATGTTTGCACAGTCTGGGTGGTGATACACAGGACACAGTGTAAGAGGGACTGGCTACAAGTTAGTAAGTAAAGGCTCCACAAGACAGGGACTGTTTGAGCTGAGTGCAGATGACTGGATAAGCATTCAACAATCCAAACTGAACATATGGAAAGAAATATAACTCTCAGTATGAGATCCAGGAGGATTTCCCCCTCAGGAACATTTTCACTCTATGCAAGAAAACAAAATACACAAAGGTCTCCCTATGTTGGCCACAAAGCATTCTCAAGACAAAGCCCTTTCCCTGTCCACCAGGAATCTGGGGCCCTGAGAAGAGGCAGCAATAAAGTATTCACCTTTCTAAATTCCACAGTACCCAGAATGATGAGTGCTCTGCAAGCATTTCTGGATCAGTGAATGAATGTCTTTATGTTCGTTCATTGATTCACTCAATAAATATCAAATGGGCAGTAATCTTTGCCAGGTTCTGCTCAGGGCCCTAGACATGCTTCAGACAGCAAGACTTCTAAAAGTCCCTGGTCTCCAAGATGCCATCTGCTGGGGGGCATGGGCAGGTGATACAGAAACAAATAGGAAGGCTGCCCAGAGGTCAATGGGACGGAGAGTGGCAGGACCAGGGAAGATGTCTTTGAGAAGGTGCCTTCTAAGCTGAGACCTGCATGGCAAGGAGAGGATGAGCCAGCCATGCAGACCCTGAGGAAGAGTGCGGCAGGCAGAGAGCTCTGGGATGGTCAGGCTCTGAGCAGAGAGAGGGTACCTTTAACAAGCAGGGATGCCATGTCCACAAAAGTGAGGTTGCTGCAGGCGGACCTTAGGCAGGAAAATTAGGAGCTATGAAACACAGCACCACTCACACAACTTCTCCTCCCTCAACTTCAACTGGCAGATCCTGGCAGCTAAAATTCATGCTGCACCAGAAAAGACACAGATTGGAGGGGAAAAAAAAAAAGAGCAGGACCATCCCATCATCACCCATCTATCTGCTCTTTCCTCTTAGCGCCACTCCCACTGGATAGCAGTTCGCAAAGGTGCTACCTCAGTCTCGACTTGCCCCTAAATCAGCATAGGAGTGCCTGCCTCGTGGAGGCAACCCTGTGGGAGTAGAGTGTCCCAACACTCTCAGGCTGGGAGAGGGAAGGCAAAAGAAGGGAATCACTGATTCCTAAGAAGCATTAGTGACTCGGCCTGGCACAATTTTTCCAAAAATGGTCCTGGAGCATGAAGCTGACCCAGGGTCACCCCAGAGGCTCTTGAAGGTCACAGGGCTGGGCAGACACTCAGGCATCTACAGCTGGGGCTGGAACCTGCCTCAGACACTAACCAGCTCCAGGGCCCCGAGCCAGTCAGATAGGTCTCCAAGTCCTCCTACAAGTGCTTTACACATACATTAATCTCACTCATTCATTCAACCCATATTTATTAAGCACCTACTATGGGTTGGGTGCTATGCTAGGTACTTGGACCTAGCAGTGAACAAAACTAACAAAAATCCCTACCTTTGTGGAAGTTCCATTTCAATGGAGAAGAGACACACAATAAACAGAATAAATTCCATGGCATGCCAGAAGGTGATGAGAGGCACAAGGAAAGCAGAGGGCAGTGAGGGAGGATCAGGACTGAGGAGAGAGATGGCAGCTGTGGAGAGGGTATGCTCACTGAAAGGGTTTAAAGCAGAGGAGAGCAAACCTTTTCTTTTAAAGGGCCAAACAGTAAATATTTTAGGCTTCCCAGACCATATGGACTCTATCAGAGCTAATCAACCTTGCTACTGTATTGCAAAAGCAGCCCTAGTTAATATTAACATATAAATGTGGATGTGGCTATATTCCACTAAAACACTTATTTACAGATATTACCGGCTGGGTTGGGTGCCCCTCCTGTGCTCTGTAACTTGTCTGAGAGCTGCTCGGCCTTGAGCTCAACAGTAAGATTTGGGGACAGGGATCATGCTCCTTATAGCCAGTAAGCCATCAATCAAAGCCAGCAAAACCGAGGAAGTCTATTTTCACTCACTAAGTATGTATTTACTGATTGAATGAACACAATAGCTATTGATTGACTACTACACCTGGCATGATTAGTGGAGCTAGGCAAACAGGACTCAACAGAAGGTGGTGGATGCAGTATTTACTTCTAAAATTACTATTAAAGGCCTGGCCCTGAACCCAACACATAACAGACTCAGTAACGACTAGTGGATCTAAATCTGCCTATAGTTCAAGGCCAGGTCCAGAGCCCTGGAACCTCAGGTGCGCAGGACATCAAGTTCAGGCTTTCTGGAAACTTTGCGTTGTCATATCTGCACAACAAGTCAAAGCACAGTAGGCCCCACAGCAGGAGCCGGCCAAGCAAGCCCAGGCACTTACGTAGAATCGCAGCAGAGCCCCGTCTGAATTGCAACACCAGGACCTCCTGCCCAAATACTCGTGGGCTGTGTTGAGCAGCATGAGGGAGGATGGGAGCATGGGTGTCTCAGCCATCACTGGGGAGAGACCAGACGGACAGTGAGCTGGCAGGGGGCACGCGAGGGAGCTGCAGGCAGTCTCTCCCTTGCGCTTTGCTTTCATTACCAAGGTAGCTACAGATTTTCCTTTCTTTCCTTTTTTATCTTTTTGTCTTTTTAAATAAGTAATGATTTGACTGGCTTTACTAAGCAATCAAAATCATACAGTAAGGTATAAAGAAAAAAATGATTCATTCACTAAGTAGACATTTGGTGAGCATTACTGGCAGCATCTTTCTGTGCATAGATGAGACATTTTGGAAAAAATGAATAATTTTTAACAACAGAACCCATACTATGTACATCATTTCTTAAATCAAAAATCCTTATACTTAGGTCTATTTGAATATTACAGAAGAAAAAAGAACTATCAAATTTCAGTTAAACGTTTACCACTAGAACTATTCCTAGTTTCTTTAAAGATCCCTCAGTATTTTTGAAAGTGGGACATAACCTATTAGTGGGCTTGTAATTGACATTTTTAGGATGTTCCTATCCTAGAGGATTAGAATTAAATACAATAGAATAGAAAATACTAGAGGGAATCCTACCCAGTAGAATAAAGATCCTTTCGCAGAATTTGTTTCGTTCTTTTTACTGTTGGTCAGCCCAAGTTAAAAAAGTATGAAAAGCACTGGTTTAAAAAGTCAGAAGATCATTAAGAAGTTCAAGCCATTAGGTTTTCTAATTGGCCTTTTAGTTTCCATTTTCAACAGCATCAAATGACTGTTGTGCAAGATGAGTAATAGCTTTGTAATACTCCCTTCTTTCCCCTCCCTCTCCCAATATTTGGGGCATACATTATCTGTAGTACTTCTGGTTGTAACAGAAGTACTGGTTGTACATTCTATTCTGCAGCCTTAATTAGCCCAGTTGCTTTCTGGTGCTCATCACAAGTTCCTTCCCAGGCTTCTTCACTCAGACTCATGTTGGTTTGCTGACTTCATCCTCCAGTAGTGTTTTTAAGAAGTATTCATAGGAGCCGGAATCCCTCTTGATAAGTGTCTGTTACCACTTTAATTACAAATAATCTGGCTAGACAGCTGAGGTCCTACTTGCTTTCCTTGAGAGCATATAGACAACACCACAACTGCCCTAGACGCTGCTGTGGAGAAACCTGAAATGAGCCTCATGTACTATACACTTTGAATCTGAAGATTCAGTTATTATCACAATTCAGAGAAATTTCCCTGTATTAATGCTGGGTTGGTTGCTCCTTCAGTTTCACTGCTGAGGTCTTTCCATCAGAGCATCATTTATCCTCATACTGGACTACCTTTGTTTTCCATACCTGTCATCTCTTCTCCAATTTCCTTAGCTCTTAATCTCATCCACTTGTTTCAGTTGTAGTCATTCTGCTCTTTGCTGTTTTGGTTTATTAGTTTATAATGGTGAGATCTGGTTTGCAGTGTTTTTGCTTAGTTCTGCAATTTTTCATTTCATTTTATCAGCTCAAATTTTTTAAATAAGTCGTTTTCTTGTGCAAATCATTTACAGGGCCTCTGCCTCTGTTTCTTCGCACATGTTTCCTTCCAGACCGAGTTCATCTGTTTTTTGCTGTGGTATGTCCTTCCTTTCCTCTTTGTCCCCGACATGGGGCGGGGAGCGGGCTTCAACATCACAACACTTGCCACGTCCTCTCCTTCGATCCCGTTTACAGTCAGCTAAGGTAGCCCCTCCAGGCTAAGCGCTCCAATACACCGTCAATGACTTTTCTGGGGCACTGTCCCACATGAGACCTTTCCTCAAAGCTGTAATTGTAAAGCGGGTGCTGCTCTCAACCCACTTTTCCGTATCCTGTGTCTACAGAGGTAGAGGAAGGGAGGTCCACCTGGCTAGGGCTGATGCAGTCATTGCTGGAGGACCTACGCTTTGTTTTCTCCTCTAAGATCCCTTTAAGGCAGGATTTGCTGCTTGGCGAGAGGAGTGCAGTCAGCAGACAGCCCTCAGCTGCTGTTTCCTTCAGGAGCTGCTGCATCTGCAGAGACTCCCCTCACCCGAGTCATGCACTTCCTACGGGAGGCCACATCCAGTGACTGAGAAAGGTGGGTATGTGAAGGCCTGGCTACTTCCCTGTCACCTGGTACAGCAGCTTGGATGGGCACCTCCTGCTCCAGAGCTCCCTGTTCCAGGCCAAGTCTTTGTCAGGCCTGCATCACAGCTGGACGTATCCCTTGGCCCCACCCTGCCTCCTCCCTCTTCCTTTCACAAGTAACCTTCCCCAATAAGCCATCTCAGTGACTACTTCCCAGAGAGCTCAATATGTGACAAATGTCTTACACCAGGCCCCTCACCACCTGACCAGAAGTGAGTTTTGTCCCTGGGCCCCTGCCCTCGACACAGTCTGGTCACTGGACGATGGTAGGACCCAGCAGCCCCTCCTGCCTCTGCCAGGCCCAGGGAGATAAGGAGGGCCTTCCCTCCCAGTCCACTGTCTATAAGTGAGGATATTAACAATAAATCCCAGGATTCTATCAACTGGCCATCTTCCCTGAGTTCTCCTGCTAAGGGCAGAGAAGGGACAGGAGCCATACCTGCTACCGGTCCACCCGAATCTTTGATTTCTTTCCTTGGCCTACATCTTCAAAGTTTACGGCATTTGACTGACCCCCTTTTCTTGTTTGTGCACTGGCAGTGTTTTAGAAACTATTTTGTTTGCATAATTAATCTGGGGGGGGAGGGAGACCCTTAATCCAGGAGGGATTTTTTGTATCATTTTTATAAGAAAAATAATAAGCATTTGTATGTAAATTTTAATTTTCACCACTAAAACCCTTTTGGAAAACATAGAGGTACTATTTGTCAAGAGCTCTAAAGATATTCATCCTAGAAATTTTTAAAAAATCAATTTAGCAGAAGCAAAAAGGTATGCATGAGGTGTTCACTTGAAGTGTGACCCGTGAAGGAGAAATACAGTAGCCAGTCCAGCAGTAAAGCGGGGCACCTCTCAGCAGCCTTATGAGACTATGGAGCTTTATGAAATAGGGTTTTAGCATCTTTCTCAATCTGGCCCCTTCCCTGTCCATCCCGCATGGCCTAGCTCCCTTGTGTCCCCCTGTGTCTACGCTTCTACATCTCTCCAGTGTCCTCCTCTGCCACTGCTCTCCCCAGTCCTCGGCCCAACCCCCACCCAGCTGGCCACTGCTTGGTGTTCCTGTCCGTCTCCTCCCACCTGTCAGAGCCTGAAGTATCTTTTTCACAGGGGTCTGACATGCTGTGAGGAGCTGATAAATAACTGGGACTAAGCAAGCAGAGAGTGAATAGAAGGAAACACGCCACATGCCAACTCTGTGGTCACTGGAATAGGGCTGGCTTTCTTTTCTTTCCACTCTTCTGATTTTTCCAGTTACTGAGAAAAAATAACAATAAATTTAATTTTAAGCTAAGTATATGTATTACAATCATAGCTATATACAAAGTATATGTACATTGGTTACGTTCAGACAGAAAATGCAAGAAAGCCAAAGGGGAAAAAATCATTTGGTAGAAATACAGACAATCTTGCTTAAATGTCATTTAGCTGTTATTGTTGTGTAATTTATGCAAGGTGGTACCACTGTGTTGATGGCTCAAGTGCCATCTCCAATGAAGGGTCCTGGGCTTGCCCTCTCCAGCCTCTCCACGCACAGCGACTACTCTGCACTCAGAACCTCCACGTGCCTGCACTGATTTGCCACGGTAGGTGATGGCTTTATTACTCCATTTTGTCCTGAGAACAATCCTCCGCGACAGGTACCATTATTCCCAGTGTGGATATAGGGAATAGAGGCTGAGAGGTTACACGATTTGCCCAAGGTTACACAGCCAAGAAGCGCCAGCTGCGATCCGGAACACGCTGCCCTCCCGCTGTGCACACCCTCTGGCCTCACAGGCCCACACACAGGAGGAGCCGTGGGGGGCAGAGGTAAGGGCTGGCACACGGCTGCCCATCTCGCAGAGCTCTTGTGGAAATCAAAGGAGGGAGCAGGCATGAGGGCTCTTAGAGCAGCGATGGCACCCTTCACAGCACTCACCCTGCTGTCATTTCCTCCGCGCCGACAGCTGCAACACATAGGAAACACTTCACACGCCCACTAACTCCTGACCCTGCTGCACAGTGAGCTCCCTAAGGGAGCCTCTGCCTCTGTCCCAGTGACAAAAAAAAGTCTTGTCAACTAAGCCCCAAGCCCACTCATAGCACCTAGAGAGGGCGGCAGGGCCCTGGGGCAGAGGCAGGAGACAAGGGACGCACAGGTTAAGGACCACTCCCACCCAGACCCGCTTCCCACCACCTTCATCCGCTGGGTTCTGAAGCTGCTGCTGGTGGCACAGAGACCGGAAGGTGTCTTCTTCTTGCCAGATGATCCGATGCAGAATGATCCAGGGCAGCACTGAGGAGACGTGGGGCTCCTTGGGCTCTTCCTGCACAGCCATGCTGCAGTCGATGATCTGGGGGGTGGCGGGCAGGAATGTCACAGCAGGGCCAGCTCTCCCCTAACCCAGGGTGCGTCCTCAGGGCAGAGCAGGGGCAGGGCTGGGGACCCGGCTCCACTGTTTGCTGTGGGAACACTGCCGTAGCAGCATCCCATCAAGTCATCAAACAGAGGGTCACAGAGCCCGACGACAGAGCTATGCCCAGGCTCAGAGGAGCCAGCTCTGGCCCCCCTCTCCCATGCCATGTGCGGTTCCTACTGTGTACTGGGCCCTGTGCCAGACACGAGGGTGACAGAGGTGAACAGGACACAGGGGAGTGGACGGCCCAGGGTGAAGAGACCTAGAGACAAGCCCCGCGAGAGCCATGGATCAGTATGGCTGCTGCAATGGAAGCAATTGAGGGCTGTAGTGGGGTCGCAGAAGAGGGGTGGGGAGACAGAAGAAATCCCCTGAGAGAAGGCTGCCAGGTAAGTGGCTGTGGCGTACCCGATCCCTAGAGAGGGTGATGGCCGAGGACAGATACACACACAGAGGCCCCAGAGGCGGCCCAGAAAATGAAACATGGGGGTAGAGAAGGAGGCGGGAGGATCAGTGCACTTTGGGTGACAGGCACCCTGGAGGGGATGTGAAGGGCGAAGTGAGGGAGCAGCCCCTTCATCTTTCCGGTTTGGAAAGGTGCCTCTGCGGCAGCGTGGTGCTGGACAGGGAGGGGACGGTGGCAGAGGACTGGAGGGAGCGTGCTGCCACCATCCATGCAAGATGGCGTTGGCCTGGGCTGAGGCAGAGCGGTGAAGGTGCAGGGAGAAACAAAGGGTGGGCATGTTAAGGATGAGGACATGGCAGAAGCTGCGGACAGCCTGGGTGGGGATTGCCAGGAAAGAGCCGAGAGCGGCTCAGAGGAAGGCTCCCTGCCACGGAGCCTGCCTGGACAACGCAGAGTGCTGGGACCACCCCTCAGCTATAAGTGCCAGGACAACGGGGGCAGTGGAGAGCCCAGCAAGGGACAGGAGGCCTGGGTTCCAGCCCTCGCTCTGACTCTGGCTCGCGGCACAAGGGCCAGGGCCTCCTGCGCTAAGCCTGCTTCCTCCCCTCTGAACTCGTGGTCTAGAAGGAACCTGTGGAGCCAAGGGCTACACCGTCTCTAACCCCCAGGCCCCACCAGCTCCAGGAAGGTTTGCAGCCAGGGCACGGTCACTCTCTACCTGAGGTACCCACGTTTCTCCAGCCAGTGAAGCCAACGTATCCCCTTGGGGTACCTAATTCACAAGAAAAGCTGGTGAACTATGAAGGAGGGGGGTACCAGACAGGCCCTGGCTGCGGCAGGGCAGGGCAGGGCAAGAAGGCGCAGGGGGTCACCTGGATGAGGTTGTTGGTGAGCCGGATGAGGCCAGTGGCAGAGGACGATTCCTTCAGGATGCTGCCACTGCTGTCTGCCGAGAGCGCCTCGTCGATGCCCCGCAGCAGCTGGGTCACTGTAGCCACCCACTCCTCCTTGGCTGCGGCCTCACTCGCATTCACCATCTGCTGGACCGCCTCGTTCAGAGCCACGTCAGAGCACTCAAAGCACTGCCGGTGGTCCTTCAGCCGGAGCAAGGATTCCTGAGCGCGAGAAGAAGCGCCGTGAGGGGACTGTGACAACGCTCGCCACACCTGGTCCTTAGGACTGAGGGGCGGGTGGCCGGGATGTAGACAGGAGGGGCAGTCCAAAGGAAAGGGGGACCATACACAGCCTTGGGGCATCTGCACGGGCACACGGTGACCTGTGTGCAATCTCAGCATGGCAAGCCACCAGCTAGGGAGCTTTCAGAATGGTGCTGAACCTCTATGCCTCAGTTTCCTCATTTATAAAGCCAGGACACAGGGTGAGGCCACAGAGCTGGGAAGCAGCCAAAACGAGGCTGTGACTCCACCGCTTCTGTCAGTTCTCACTGTTCCCCAGGCCACCCAGTCATGTGCTCATCCAGTGCCAGGGCTCTGGAGGATCTCAGCAGGGGAGGGCAACTGCCAGGGAGGGACTGTCTCACAGAGGAGGGCCTGAGCCAAGACCAGGGCAGGGGCACTGGCCAGGTGGCGCTGAAGCCACCTTCCAGGTGGACTGAGGTACTGAGCCCGTCCGAGCCCCAGCCCTGAGCGTTAAATGAGCCGATGTCCGTAATGCACTCAGCACAGTATCCTGACACGAAGGGGCTCTCAGTATGCCACACTGCACTCTGACTGCTATTTTAAAATCTCCCCTTTGAAAGCCATTGCCTCTTGTCAAGCTCCCTTTCCTTTTGTTCTAGAAGAAACCCGTTTAAACCCCTCTGGCCTCAGCCTCTTTCATTACCACAGAGAAACAGCCTGGCTGTGAATTCGCAGATCTGGCGGGCAGCCTGTTAGGCCCACAGGAAGCACCTGCTGCCTGGCGCCCTATCGGCTCTGCCCTCGCCACAGCTGAGGCGCGGCAGTGGCTCCTGCCAGCCTTGACACGTGCAGCTGCCACGCACTGAGGTGACACAAACAGGTGTGGGGACAGAAACATCCAAAACTGCCTTTGGTATGTGCTGCAACATCTGAGCACAGATCAAAACTACCCCCCAATTTAAAAGCCCTAATTGCCAGGGCCACAAGGCCTGTGTTTCTTTAGAGAAAATGAGCACTCTAGCAAAAGGCCCTGAGGTGTGAAGGAGCCCATGGGGACAGAGGTAGAGCCTCCAAGGCCTGGGCTGACCCCTCCTGATCAAGTGCCAAACATGCAAGGGGCAGGAGGCTATTTTCTAGCAGGATAAAGACTACTGACCCTAAACTGCAGCCAGAGTCTCCATGGAAGTCAAAGGCAAGACAAGGACCTGCCAGCAGCACTCTAATGTGACAATCCCCAGTGCTCAAGGCCAGAAAGAGCTAAAAGGCAGAAGAATAACTGCCAACAAATGAGGAGACCCCATTACCACTCTCAGACATAATGGGACTTCAGAGAAGTGGCTAGATTCAAAATAAACATGCAAAAATCAATAAGGTTCCCATAAATCAGACATGTACTGTTAGAAAACATAATGACCAACCAAAAGGTCCTGCTCAAGAGAGCAACCAAAAATATTAAGAACTAAGAATCAGCTCAACCATAAGAAAACTATACATTAATCTGAAGAACACAGAAGGTGGGAGAGACAGCCATCATACTCTTGGAGGGGAGGATTCCAAGGCAGACCCCCATCCTGTAACACTCAATGAAGCAACAGTTAACATCACTGGAAGAAAACAAAGGCCAACAGGACTTTTTGTGTGTTTGCTGCCATATTTCTTGTCTGCCTCCCTTGTGTAGTACAGGTTCCATGAGAGCAGCTCCCCTGCCCAGTGCCAGGAACACTGTAGGAACTCAATCCATGTGCATGGAATGAGCGGATGAATGTTTTTCCAGTCTTGGAAAGGCTGCCTAAGCATAATGAAAAAAATCAAAAACATCTGAAAACTTCAAAAGATCTGACAACATAATTCAAAACTTATGTATGTCGGAAAAAAATACAAGCGACAATTAAAAAGCAAACAACAAACTGGGAAAAATATGTTCAACAGTTGATGAAAAAGAGATCAATTTCTTTCATAGCAATAAGAACCCCCACAATAGGAAACTTGAGCAAGGAGCACTTATTTGCAAAAAGCAGGAGTTTCCATGGTTCTTGGCCCAGGCCTTGCCTCACCCACAGACTGCTCAGCGCCTGCCCAAACGGCAGCTCCCCATTCAACAGGGCATCTGCCACACCCAGGAGTTGTAGGTTACAGAAGCAAACCGACATCTGAGCCATTGGGGCCACCTCACAAAGGCAGCAAGCACTGGCCTCTCCCTTCCTACCCACCCAATGGTCTCCCTGGGTACACCCAACTGTCCCTCCCACACAGCCATACTGGACTCTCCCCTCACCTGCCATGGTAAGTGAGGTCAGAAAAACTCATCCCTCAACCTCTTGACTTCCTCTGCCCAGAACCAGACCCTCTTTCCCACCTCTCCTCTCTGCCTCCCTCCTTCCCTTTCCTTCCCTTTCCTTCCCCATTTCCTTTCCTTTCCTTTCCTTTCCTTTCCAGAACCAACTCTTTCTTCCCCTTTCACCAGGGTGGAGATGCCCCCATTTGTTCCCACAATTGCACCTCTTAACTATTTCCCAGTTCAATAAAGTTATTGACTACAATATTTCGTGTAATCTGGACAAAAAAACCTGAGAAAAGACTGGGCTCTCTTTCCAAATTGAAGGAGAAGGACCCAGTAACATAATATAACGTGATTAGTGTGTATGTGAACCATAAGGGATAGGACCCCTAGACCACGCAATGGTATTAAGCACATCACTTTTCTCATCTTCTATATCTGACTCCATGCTTCCTGAGGATGGTGGCAATGACAGCTGGCACCCATATGGTGCTTGCTACAAGCCAGGCATGGTGCCAGCACACACTAACTCTTATAATCCCCACAACAGGCTTCTGAGGTAAAGACAACGATCATTCCCATCCTAGAATTGAGGACCTTAGTCACAGAGAAGCTGAGTCAAAGTCCGGCGCCAGAAGGTCCTGTAGCAGGCGAGCTCTTGGTAAGGGTTCTTCGCTTAAGAACAGAGGCACGGAGGAAGCCAGGCAGGCACACGGCCGTCACACATCACGCTGGTGTTCTTCAACGACGTGACCAGACGTGGGTTTTTATTTGATCTTAATTCTTTACCTTGTACAGATATTTTATCCATTTTTATATCTATTTAACAGTTAATTTTAAAAGTAATTTAAAAAGACAAAGGAACAAACAGATGGATGGATGGCTAATGTCCTGATTATTCTTCCTCCTTCTCTGCCATGCAAAAAAGTTCAGAGTCAAGTGTGGGCTCACCGTGAGCCACGTACAACCCTACAGGCGGCATGCCTAAGTTCCAGCTTTGTCCCACATTTTGTGACGGGCATCTTCCTGCAGGCCAAGTTACAGTTTTTATTCCCGCTTTTCTTTTCTAGGTTGTCACGCCCAGCAAAGAAGGTACAAGAGGGCAAGGGGGACAACAGGAACACACACCTGCAGCAGCAGCAGTTGTGTTGGCCTCTCAGGAACGGACGTCATAAACTCCAGGTGCTTGGCCCGGTCAAACCCACTGGTGCACAAGGTGGGGCGGAGCAGGTGCACCACGGCCTCATAGTCACCAGCCTCGTACAGCCGCTGAATCTCCTCCAGGGACTGACACCGCTCCAGCGACTTCAGATTCTTATCGATCTGGAAAAAATCCAGATTTGCTGCCCAATGACAAACCCCTCACATGCTCCCTGAATCCAGCCAATGTTTGCATTCATCAGACCCAAAATTAGACTCCTTAATATACCAGCGTTTACATTAGGTGAATACTTTATAAAAAGTATTTTTATTAAGGTCAAGGAATTCAATTCTTTAAAAAACAAATATAACCAAAAACAAAAACTACCCAGAAGCAGAGAGGTTCAGAAAAAAGTATGCCAAAAGAGCTGCACAGGCCTATAGTCCCAGTTCAGCGAACCAGACCTGTGGAACCACGGAGCACAGGATACGAGAGACGCAGTGAGCCCCGGGCCAAAGGTTAGCATACGTCACTAACCCCCAGGCCCTCTCCTCACAGGAGCCCGCCATGGTCCCCGGGATGTAGGCAGCAGGGGCACTGCACTCGCCTTGCCCTGAAACAACTCTGTAAGAATCTGAAGCCCTCTTTCAACTCATGTGGACGCCTTGTCACAGACATGGAACTGCATGAGGTCTGAAGCAGCACAGTGAGAACAGGATTAGAAGCTGAAAGAGCCTGGCTTACATACCATGCACCACTGGCCCAGCCCCACAGCCAGACCAGCACTGTTCTGCTTCTGCTGGAGTTTCCCTCTAATTCTGCTGGGACTGCTACCACACACAGCCCAGAGAGCTGAGCAATAATCACTCTAAACCGTGCAGGCAAATACCTCCACCCGTGTCCCCTGCCACCTGGACGAGCTTACTTACCATTACGGGGGTGTGGGTCTGAGGAGCCCTTGTGTGCCAGAGCTGCCCCTTGCAGGCCCCTTCACCCTCCCCGGGGAGGAAAGAGCCCTACAGAGCAGGTGGGCTGCTCTCCTGGCTCTCAGAGAAAGGTGGGGCTAGTCTACGTAGGCCAACCCAGCATAAAGCTCTGACCAAGGAACACCATTAAGAACACTTCCACTCACCTCCTCCAGGGAAACGACTGAGTCATTGTGGAGGTTGGGGAGCCGGATGACAATGTCTCTTTGCTCAGCCCCTGCCTCTGCCTGGATGGCAGTGGAGCTCTGGAGCATTTCTGTGCAGATGTCATAGTTCTCCAGGGCCTGCTCCATGTCTCCCTGGCCAAAGGAAAAGCAGTCAAGGGACAAGGCCAGAAGGAAAGGAACTCGCTCTGCTGCGCCAGGTGCCTTACCCTCCTGATCCCACTAGGCTGCAGGCACAATGAGGGCGGTTTTACCCAATTACTGCTACACCCTCTGAAATGGGGCCTGACACATGGTGGGGGCTCTCAGTATCTGTTGGATGGACGCATGGATGGATGGACAGATGAATGAACTCACATGACAACTCCAAGGGGAGGTAAAATTAACCCTGTGCCACAGGTGAGAACACTGAGGACACAAGCAAGGCTGAGTATCTTGTTCAAAGATCACAATAATAAATGGATTAAAAGTGGGGCCTGTCCTAACTCCAGAGCTGACCGTGACACTCTTACTCATTCTATCATCCTGCACCAGGTATCACCATGTGCCAAGGTGGTGGGTAACAACCAGCCCACCCCAGCCTTCAGACCAGGCTCCAAAGGGAAGCTTTCTGAGAATTCACACAAGACAGGTGGTTAATTCCCTTTCAGAAAGTTCTGCAGCCATCTGTGTACTCACTCAGGCTTTCTCGGAAAAATGTAGGCAGAGTCACAACCCCAAGGCAACCTTGAGTGAGGGCTCTATAGGGGGCACCGGAAATCCCTTCCAGACCTCTGTCACTCTGACGTGCTCTAGAGACTGGTGACCAGGCTGGGATTTCTGAGAGGCTGATAACTCCCCGCCATGGCCCACTTCCTCAAGCTGAGGCCAGTGCTCAGGCAGGCACCACGCATGCGCACACACACATCCTCAACAAGGCGTCCAGCTCTCTTCCATCCCCACTAGGTGCCAGGGCATGCTCCCCAAGCAGTTCATCACTGAACGAACCTGCAATGCCAGGAACCGAGCCTTCAACCAGTACACACGGACCACAAACTCCAGCCAGCCATCCTCAAACAGGTCCCGTTGAGACGAGGCAAATGACAGCTGCAGAAGATCACCCAGGAAGTGGGTTCCCGGGAAATCAGGTCCAAACCTGCCATTCACCACACCAGCAGGGCAGTTTCGAGGAGACACTGAAAACAAGTCAGGCCAAAACAAATCAATTCCATGTGCAGGGTCCAGATATCCTTCTGCTCCCTAGAGGTCACCCTCAGCCCTCCATCTGGGAAAACTACTGGGTCACATAAACTGTCATGTAACTTGAGAAAACTAACCCCACTTCTTTCAATCATAACTAACAGAAAAGTAGGTAGGTGGCTCCCTCTGGGGATCAGCGGCTGCTAACCACTTCTTGAGTGTCCGGGGGACTTCTCTGAGACCCTGGATTTTTCCAGGCCTGACAAGCCAACCCAGGAAATGTGCTTACTGCAGATTCAAGTCTGAATTCCGTGGCTCAGCCTCCCCACGCCCCCTGCCTCCCAACTGCTGAGGGTTCAGAAAGTTACCCCTGCCACGGAACATGGAATGTCTCCTACCTGCAGAGCTCCTACCCTTGGTCAGCAGCCACTGGTCCAGCTGGAGCTCCATGCAGGAGAGAGACATCAGCATCATGTCCTGCATAACAGGCACCAAAAGGTCAGGAATGGGGTCACAAAGAGTTGTCAAAGGGTGGGGAATGGAACAATACGAAACTAAAATTTACCTTGATAAAAACATTGTTCGTCTACTTCCCACTTAGTAGACGATAATCAGTGGCAACTTGCCAGGACTTTAAAAGAAGCTTATGGATCTGTACTGGGACAACACCCCGGAGGAGCCTGGGGACCAGTCTTCAGTCCTGAGGGACTGCTCCATGCAGATGCAGACCTGTCGCCTGCCCAATGCCAGGGCAGATGCTGCATCCACACTACTGCACTCAACCCTTAAAAGTACCTGGGGTTGGCACCCTGCTCCCTGAGCACACGAGGAAACAGAGGCTCAGTGATAAGGAAGCACTGTCCAAGCACAGGCACAGCTGGGAAATGACCAATCTGCGTGTCTGGGGACCAAAGCCTCAGCTCCTCCTGCCATTGCACACCGCCCACAGGGGAGCAGGCTCAGCAGGCAGCAAGTGTCAAGAGGCAGTCCCTGGGTTCCCAGTGGAGGTTCCCGGAGGAGGCTGCACAACCAAGGAACACTGACCCACGTGCCTCTAAGTACCTGCCAACTCCAAGCTCTTTCACCTGCAGTGACCCCAGCCAGAAACACCAGCGGAGAGGGTTCTGAAAGCTCCCAGTGCCCCTCCACAGCATTTAGCCCTCTTCCTCCACTGGGAGAACGCCCTGGGTACCCCTGAGCCCTGGGAGGCACTAAATGGAGGCGCCCGGGGGGCAGAGCGCTACAGGCAGCCAGGCCGGGCATGCTTGTGCCACCGCTGGAGGCCACTACCACTCCCCTGAGCAACCATCCTCGGCCTCTGCACATCTGCTTTCTTTCCTTTTAAAAATCAGTAACAGTCCCTGGAACCCCAACATAACCAAGTCTTCACTTTCCCCAGACTCTGATGGCTCTTCTCCATCTCAGTCACCAGCCCTGACCCATCTCATGCCTCACCTCCACATGGGTTCAGTTCATCCTGTCAGCTCGGCCTCCAGAACCCCCACCCCACCGCCATGGCCGTGGTTCACTGCCAGCAGCCTCCTGGGTGCCCACTCTCAGCCCCGCGGCTATCCTCCACTCAGCCACCAGAGATCCCTCTAGGCACAGACCTGAGTCTATGATTTCCTGTTTCAACCCTCCCAGGGGCCCAGGTTCCAGGCCCGGAAGTCAATGGAGCCAAGCAGGCTCGACACAGCAGCAGCCCCACACCCCCGGAAGGGCCCCGTGCCCATCCCCTGGTCCTAGTCGGACAGTGGCCCTTGAGAGGCCCCCACCCGCCCAACCTTGATGTGCTTGTTGCTGCAGTCCCTCAGCAGCGGGTTGGGCAGGCTGGTGCTGTGCCTCCTCCAGCTGTGATAGATGGTGAGCACAACCTCCGCCAGGCCCGGGGGCCACCTCAGCAGGAACTTGTGACCCATGGCCTTCAGGTAGCGCATCATCAGCTCCAGGATGCCCCCATTGGTCAAATTCTCCAGCAGGAACGTGTGCACATCCTGCTTCTCTGCCCCGGGAAGGAGAAATAATCTGACTTGAGTAAAGGGCCTTCTGTGCCAGGGTCTCCCATTGTCTTTGGAAGAGAGAAGAGAGCAATGGCAGGAGCAGGGTGGGAGCAGAAGAGAGCCCGTGTCCTCCCACCACACGGTGGCACTGAGGTCAGGCTGCCAGGTTCCAATCCTGGCTCCAGCCCTCTCCAGTTGTGAGCAAGCCTCTCTGAATCTCCAGGTCTAAGATGGGCATTAAAGGGTTGACCTCCAAGTGCTGCCATGTGCACTAAGCGAAAGAGTACAAAAAAAATACAAAGCATGGTGTTTGGGACACAACATGCACTCAACAGTTGTGTCAGATACATTTGACTAGCAAAGCCATGCCACTGGGTTTGACCTGAAGCACACACCCTTCAGGGAGCACAGTCAAGTATGAGCATGGATGTGCTGGCAGACCTCCCAGCTGGCTGTGGAGCCCATGCCCAGGACAAATCCAGGCAGCCCCTTGACCACATTTTAAAACACACCCAGAACCTCTCTGGCTGGTATAGCTCAATGGGTTGAGCACCAACCTGTGAACTGAAAGGTTGCAGGTTCAATTCCAGGTCAGGGCACATGCCTGGGTTGTGGGCCAGGTCCCTAGCTGGGGACGTGTGAGAGGCAACTGATTGATGTTTCTCTCACATATGGTGTTTCTCTCCCTTTCTTTCTCCCTCCCTTCCCCTCTCTCTAAAAAATAAATAAATAAAATCTTTTAAAACACACCCGGAACCATTGCTCCAGAACAAAACCTAGGCAGGTCATAGGATGACGGGAGTGAGAATTCCCCACACGAATGATCATATTGTTCAGTTCCTACCAGATTCCATGAATGTGGCCGAGTCAAACGACAGCCTATGAGGCCCAATGCTTGGGAAGCTTTCCAGCTTGGCTTCTGACTGAACTTCGTAGTTATTGAAGGGGTCATCTTCCTCCTCAGGGTCCAGTTTTCTCAGCCTGCACGAACACACCAAAATCACAAAAGCCACACCACACATTTGGAAACCTGAATTCTTACTATCAGAGAAATGAAATCTGCGCCAGGCAGAAGGAAACTAGAATAAGTGAGGCGCAGGGTCCAGAACCCAGGCCTCTAGGCAGCCTTCATGATCTGGAGACTGGTCTGCACCCTCACCCATTCATTCATTCATTCATTCATTCATTCCACCAACAGATGATTACTGAGCACTGGCGCGTGCCAGGCGCTATGCTAGGCACATAAGTGTGGCAGACCCTGCCCACAGTAGGCTTACCTTCTAAGGGAGATAAGAAGATACACCAAAATAAAGACCCCAAATAAAGGACCAACAGAATGCTTGCCATTTAGGTGGCAGAGTCAGGAAGTTTTCTGAGGGGGATAATGTTTACAGTGACCCTGGAGGAGGAAAGGGACCGGTCATGCAAAGAAGCAGACAGGCCAGAAGAACATCTGGTATGTTCTAAGACCTGAGGGGAGCCCAGTGGGCAAGGAGAAGGTAGGTGGGTGTATGAAGTATGGGAGGGGCACATCAGGCCCTTCTGCGTTTGGTCTCCCCACGGCTTCTCACGGGGCTTTGAAACCGTGGGGGCCTCTCCCAGCAAGTACCCTTGTTTCCTACTCCTGCCAAGGACCACGCCGCCCTGCAGTGCTCAGGGCGCTTTTCAGTGTCTTCATTCACTTACTGTGCACACACACCCAGGGTGACCACTGAAGTTAAGGGGTCACATTGCTTTTGCCTGACCATTCGAAGAAGCGGATGTGAAAACCACATAGGACCGCACTTAAAGATAAAAAGATAAAAACCATTCCTGATAGAGGGGGCGAGACAACCAGACTAAAGGGCAGATGGGGAAATGGATCACTCAGGCCTCTTGTGTCATCGACCACAGCACCAACCACCCTGTGGTTCCTCCCAAAGGGAAGCGTGTTCCCAGTACTGCGCCTTAGGAGGAATTGATCTGAGAACACTGCAGCTCAGCTTACTGAAAACAACCTCAATTTCTAAGCATTTCACTTTCACCACAGAAAGAGAGGCAATAAAAAAGGAAAAATAGGAAATTTTGCCGTAAAATGAATTTACAGTCCACCAAAAGCCTCTGGCTCTTCCTCCACTTGGATGTTGCCATCACTGAAAGCAACTGCCATGAGCCAAAACCCTAGCTGAGGACTCCTGGGTAAAGAGGCACACTGAATACAGTTACCCTCCAAATTCCACACCAGTGACCGTGAAGATATAAAAAAGCATAAACTCACAAAGACACAGGGTACAGGAGAGGAAGCCCCAGCAGAGAAGAACTGTGAGCAGTAAACATCAGACGGCAGAAAGATGATAGACCAGCAGAAACTGCACTATTTTCTCCACTCAGCTTAGGGTGAGAGGAGGGAAGGGAACATCAATAAGCCCACCCAAATTTAAAAAAAAAAGAAAAGAAAAGAAAAAGAAAAAAAAAGAAGTCCATCCATTGGCACCATAAACCCCAGGGTGGTTCAGGAACTGAGGGCCTGGGAGCCCCTGAAAGAGGCAAGAAGGCAAGGACAAAAAGCGGGAAGGCTGGTGAAAATCTATGGAAGGAGCACTGGGGGCCAGGACTCCCAACTCCAGGCTACCTGGCCCCTTCTCCTCCCTGTGAGGCTTCTCTGAGGAACACTAAGAGCCAGCGAAACCAAGGAAGGATTTACCAGCCCATCCTCTACCTTCTCAGAATGTGAGGAAATGCTACTGAGCCTGGAGAAGCCAGAGAAGCAGAAGGGGCCACAACACAGAAGGCGAACCTCTTCTGTGGGGCTTCCTGGTGTCTGCATCCAAGGAACAGCAGCCCCAGGCCTCCCAAAAGTGGGTGTGAGTGCACAGGAACATGAGCACGTTGCCTCCAGATGAGAGGAATCCTCCCATCTGTTGCGGGCCCCAGAAGTGCCTAGTCTTCCAAAAGAAGCCATGGTTTCTCTCCTCAGGAAATTCAGAGGCAAGAAAAGCCCTAGATCCCAACCCAGTGAGATCTGTGCTTCAGTCGTTTGCACAGATGTTAATGGAAAACCAAGGAGGTGTCCGGAAAGGGTGGCAATGGAATAAGAAACACTGGTGGTACATGCTGGAACTTCGTGTCTGCAAATCTGAAAAAGTATACATTATACCTGGATGGCAAGAACTTCATCAGAAGCTCCTGGAAGTCTACTTTCTCTTCTTTTTTGCACTTGGTGTTTCGGACGCGAGCAGACCGCCGCTTTGCTGTCTCCCCATTGTCTTCTGAAATTTTTTTTCGCTTTACTCCCTTCTTGGCTTTATCTCCCCCAGAAATGTCGCCTTCACAAAGAGTGCAAATTGAAATCAAACGGGGCAGAGGTATGAAAACACGGCACAAGGCACACATGTGTGCCCTTTCAACCTCTGCCAGCACATTTAACCTTTATCTTCTTTAACATGCAAGAAATCATCCATCTCTTCTTTAGCAACAGCATTCTGAGTACAGGTAATTTCAAACCACTTAACCCTCACACCTTTCTTGAATTCAGAGCCTGCAAGCTGGATCTCAAGACTACTTCCCGTGGCTACAGAACACCAGGGTCTCAGAATCGAGCGTTACCCCATCCCCCCACCCTGCATGCTGGATGGGTTCAGGAGCCTCTGGGCCTCATGGATGAACTTGGGATGGGTGAGACAAGCAGCAGCAACTGCCTCTACCCGCTGGTCAGGGTCCTGAGCACCTAACGACATGATGTGGGTGAAAGAATTACATGAATTATACAAGAGGAGAGGAGATCACATATGATTAGGTTAAAAAGTTAGAAACAATCACATATGTGCACATTCAGAAACTTCTTTAACTGCTAGATATTTTTCAGTGACAAAGAAAATCAAGAAAAGGCTTGGGAGTTTTTGTCTGAAATCTTTTACAATCCCAATAATGGTAAAAATCGGTAGAACTATTCAAAATACTACTACTACATGGGGTGGTAACTTTGCTGACTGCATTTCAAGGCCAAAGAGCTCAGACTGTTGGTGCACGGCAGTGCTGAGCGCGGCGGCACGCAGCCAGCAGCTGAGCAGAACCAACAGAGGGACCGGCCAGCCACTCGCCACAAGCTGGAAGAGCAGCGTTCACGCCAGGACTTATCAGCCGGGTGTAGAGGGGTGCCGAGGAGCTGCGTCCCTCAGCCCCAACCGCTTCCCTGAGGGGCTTCAATACTGAAGAAGCCCCTGAGCAGCAGCAGTCCCAGGAACAGGCTGAGGGGCTCTTCCGCGGGTCCAGGGGCCTTTGCCTAAACCTCAGAGCAGGAGTATCAGTAGGACCTGTTCCTCTGAAGAGACCAGGGCCGCTCAAGACTCGTTCCTGCCCAGCGAACTGGGTCTCCCCAGAAGCCAACGCCAGAAGGCCTGCTCACCCATAGGGACACCTGTCTCCAGGAGGCTGGGGCTGTGCAGCGGGAAGCTGGCTGTGGCCACAGGGGAGTAGGAAAGCACAGGCTCTGCCACGGTCACAGATGGGTTGGCACTGACAGGGCTTGGCTGGATCACGCTGACAGGCGCCAGCACCACAGAGGGCACCAGAGGCTGACTGGGGTCCTGGTAGTCAGACAGGTCAATCCTCTTGCCGAGGCTGGGCCGCGGGGGCTCGCAGGTAGTGAGGTGGTTGTACATGGCCAGCAAACTCTCTCCGAGGCACTTCCAGCTGCAAGAAGACAGTCACCACGGTTGGCCAGCACCCATGATAAGGTACCCTGGACACACAGCCAGCTGGCCTATGGTGAGGCAGTAGAGTTGGCCCCGGGGCTGCCATCCCCACAAGGGAAAGGAGGGTTGTCATGGTTTTGTCATTGTCATTACTGACAAAATCTTCACTCTAACACAGCTGAGATGGAGCAGCTGGAGCAGGAGCAGGGGCCTAGCACCCTTCCCTCACTACAGGAGAAGCCCCGATGCACCTCAGCCTCAGGCATCTTCAGACAACCAGGCAGGCACAAAAACCATCGACTCACTTTAGAAGCTCCTTCCCTACAGGTCAAATCTTTAAAGCATCTGTGACATTTCCCGCTGCCACTAATCTGGGTTTTTTTGCAGGGGAAGGGGGGCCGGGGGAAGGGGAAGGCTGCTAACAAGGACATGGTCTAAAGGAGCTAAATGGGCCCTTGGGCAGGGTGTCTTGAGAGAAGCATCTCAGTGAGTCCCCATGTGGGCCAGCGCTGCTGGATGGCAAACCAAGACCATTGTGCGTTGTAGTGTGGTATGGTGTGGTGTGTTATACTGTGTGCTATCTAGTGTGTTTTCTGTTGTGGGATGTGTTGTATATTATGTTGTGTGTTGGTGCAATGTGGTATGGCATGATATATCCATCCATCTGTCCATCCATTCATCATCCCTGAATGCTCTAAAGCTAAAACCCAAACTCTCAGCTTGGCCCCATGGTGCTGCACCACCTGGCCCGGCCAGCTGTCCCAGCCTTATCTCATACAGCCCCACACTCTTGCTGTGCTAGCTTTCCTTCAGTTCCTTCAAACTCACACGTCTGCATGCCACAGGGCCTTCAAACGGGCTTCCCTGGGCCCAGAAACAACGCTCCCACTCATGCCCCAACCCCTATGCCTGGCCAATGTCCACTCCTCTACCAGGCTCCTGCTCTGGTATCTAAGCCTCCTCCACCCCTACAGCAGTGTGGGCCCCCCGTGTTGTGTTTCTCTCCTCAGGGTGCCCATCACCTTGGGTGTATGCTCCTCCTGGGTGACTGACTACCCCTGGGATCATGCCATGAGGGACCATGCCCCACTATGTTGAGCCCCCAGCACAGAGCGCAGTGCCCAAGATGAAGCTGCCATCCAATAAATATTGTAGGAGGAATGAAAAGGATGTTACCTCAAAATCCAGAATCTAACCAAATGGAGGTTCCTAGAACTACAAAGGATTCCTTATTATTCTTTTCCTGCCTTCCGTCAGTTACATTCAGACAGGGGAATCTGCTCATCAGCTGCGTTGTGCTGGATGTCTTACGGACACCAATTTCATTTACTCATGCAGTGTTTGTGCCTAGTAGGCACTGAATAGACCAGGGGGTGGCAAACCATGGCCCTCTGCATCTTTTATACAGCTAAGAATGGTTCTCTCTCTCTTTCTTACACACACGCGCGCGCGCACACTCCCACACACACACACCCCCCCAAAGGTGGTACCTGGCCCACAAAGTCTAAGTATTCACTGTCTGGTTCTTTATAGGAAAAGTGTGCCAAGTCCTGGAATAGATGGTGGTTATTTTAAAAGCTCCACACCCTTTGCTCCCAGAGACAGAACCTCTACAGCTTTCCTTTAATAACCCAATCCCATACTTAACTAGCAAGCAACACTTCCTTCAGCCACACTGATGCCCCCACACTTCCACTGGGCCTTTATCCTGAGCCACAGAGGGCGGCTGTGACAGCAGTTCACAGCTTCTCTTCTCCAGTGACATCACCACAGTCCCTTAGAGTGTCATTCCTACAGGACTTCTGCTCCTTCACTGTAACAGGGAGGCACCCAGGGCCCTTCCAAAAGCCCAACCCTCTTGATTAGGGAGCACACACTCCAGACAGGATGGGGCTCCTGACCCAGGTAATGAAACAGAGGGAAGAGCACCAGACAAGAGTCCAGAAGCATCCCAAAGAGCAGCCCCATCTCCCTGACCACCTCGGTGCCTGTGTGGGAAGGTACTCCTGGGAAACTCAACTTGCCGGAACAGACAAGCAGTAGCAACAATGTGGATCTGAGCCAGCCCTCCCCGAGTGTGTGCTAAGTGCCGGCTCCGTGCTAGCCACCAGCTGTTCAATTTCATTATCGCCGTGACTCTACAAGAGAAGGATATTGCCTTCCCCATTTTCAGGGAGCAGCATATAACACTTCTAGTGTCACCCAGCTAGTGGTGCCAGGATTGGACCCAGGTCTATCTGATCCAGGACAAGAGCAACTGACCACTGTGTGACAAAGCCTCTAAGTGTGAGAAGGGGGGGGAGGGACACTGCTGCCAAGGCATGTTAAATTTAAAGATTCAAGATTCGAGGTCAGAGTTTTAAAGACAGAAACTGCACACCAGATCTCACGAGGGGGCCAAAACTACCCCAGTTCTACTGGGCTGTCAATTCCGGCTTGTCTTGCCCGGGCTGGGGCTGGGCGTGAGGATGGCTCTCACACGCCGTGGGACTCACAAGGGCCCTGGAGGGAGACCGAGGCTTGCGAGCCAGGGAACCCAGTCCTGCGATCAAATCCAGGCTCCCCATTCACCATTTAACTGCTCTCAATCTGGCTTCCTTCTGTCAAGTGTTTGGCAAATATTAGTTTCCTTTTCTTGTCTGGGTGGGGCAAGTTGAAAGGGGGCTTATAGGAACATGGCAGGAGGCTGGCATCAAGAATGGCAACAGCGAAGAGGACCTTAGACTACGCCTACTTGGAAGAGGCCTGGCTGCTTGTCAGAAGTCAAAAAGTAGGCCACACACCTCCAGCCATCTGTCAATGTGCACCCAGGTCCCACCCACGCCACCAGCCTAGGGTCAGTCTCTTACCCTTGAGTTGGGCCCACCAGCCAACCCAGCATCCCAAGACCCAGAAAACCTACGTGAAAAAGGGGATGGGCTGCACCAGCTTCAGGTCTGGCTCCTTCTCCCGCACGGTCAGTGCTTGCCTCTTCCTCCGCAGCCCCAGAGCCTCATCTATGATGGCCTGTGTCTCAGCTGCACTCACTGACACATCATGGATTGACATGTCACTAACAGCACAGGGTATAAGATGGGGAGAAATTACAATGTTACAAACCAGAGCCAAAGCTGAAATTTTACAGAAAGGGATGCAGTTAAGTTAATACCCTTTAATCTATATTAATTATTTTGACAAATAAAATAACCATTTGAGTCTGGCCTTGGAAGGGCAGTAATTAGCATTCTTAATACCCACATACACTAGAAATGACTAATACCCTTTGTTCCTTCTACAATTCAAAATTGAGCAAGGGTTTTCATATGTATTAACAGTACCAGAGTAATGTCAAAAGCCACAGGAAAATAAAATCTTGTTAATTACTTACAGAAAAATTTTAAAGAATTTAACTAGACCATCCTGCCCAACCTAGTAAAAAGTCATCAGACCGGCCAAGCTCACCAACGTCTGTGGTGTCTCCAAATTACAGAAAGGGCGGGGCTTTGAGGCCCCAGGCACGCTTCCACGGGCACACCTGTGTCCGAGGTGGTCCAGCAGGACCTGCCCTCCTGCCCAGACTGTCCTGAGCAGGGCTCTACCACAGAGCCACTTGCTTAAGGACTCACCTGTTTTATGCCTCTCTCCAAAGGTTAGTCCCCTCAGGACAGATGTGAACAAGAGGCAGTCTTGTAAGGGACAGACTGAGACAAATAACCCCCACCACCAGCAGCTGAGTTCCAGGGGCCAAGGAAACACCAGAGGGTGGAGGAGTTGGTTCACCTGGAGGGCTGGGGCAAGGAGCAGCCAGAGCTTGGAAGGCTGCTGAGACGTGGCCTGAGAGCTGGAACGCAAAGGAGGTGCAGCAGCACAACACATGGAGAGGTGGGAAGACAGCATTCCAGGTGAGGGCAAAGTGGGGGCTGGGACAGAGGGACGGGGCAGAGCACAGCGGGACCAGGCCAAGAATCTCCCAGGGACCTGCGGCAGTTCCCTTCCTCGGGGGAGGGAGAAGAAGTGCAAAGGACCTCCTGGGCAATGCCATCAAGCATGGGTCTTATTCTGGAGGCAAGGCAGGGATGGCACAGGATAGGGGGTGTGTTTGGGACAAAGTCCTGCAAAGGAGAAAGGTGAGTGTCAAGAAGGCATGGTGGACATCAGGCTACTGCAAGCGGCCAGAGAAGAGCCAGCGGGCAGCGGAAAAGGAGGGCAGCAACCAGCCGAGGAGAAAGAACCGAGATTAGGCACGCAGCTGAGTAATACACAAGGCAGATCAACGCCAGTTCGCCAGAAGATGATGAAGGGGGTGACGGACAGGGGCTCGTCCTCTAGGAGGTCAGGACCTGAGAGAACCAGGTGCACACACCTCCAGATATTCACCAGGTACTTGGGGAGGGCAAAAGGGGGTGCAGACCCAGGAAGGAAAGAGGCAGGACCTACCATTTAAGGAACATTCGGAGGGAGTCTTTCCGGAGACAAGGCTGCTCCTCAAATATCTTCTCCTTGAGAACCAGCCCTTTGCTATACCGGCAATCCTTCTCCAATGCTTTGCAGATGAAGTACAGACACGCTGGCAGGGAAAGAAACAGTTACGACTTCTGAGTGTGCACTCTGAAGCTCTAACCTTGCCAGTTAATACCAGGAATATGTGCCTGCTCTAGAGTCAAAGAAATGCACAGTAAACAATAACAAGATCCCATTTTAACAGATTCAATTAGGAAAGATTTCTGAAAATAATACTACCCACAGTAGAGGGGGCAACCCAGCCACTGCTGGGGAGGATAGACCATACGACCTCTCTGCAGAGCCAAAGGCATTACACACAATTGACCCAGCAATCCCACTTCTAGGAATTGCTGTAAAAAACCTACAGGGCCCACAATGATTAGCTATTGGCTAATTGCCAAACAACCTTAAAAAAAAGTCAGGAACCACTCAGTGTCCACCACGGGAGCCTGGTTAAGGGAGGTTTCCCCAATTCTCACACTGGGCTGCTGAGCGGCCACTGCGCAGATGGGTGAGGGGTGTGTTTATTGACCAAAAAGAAGGCCACAAAACAGCTCGGGGAAGAGGCAGGGGATTAGTCACAGTGCAGCTCCATTTGTACACAAAGATCTGTGTCTCTGGGACCACAGAGGACTAGAAAGTGGCCAGCAGTGACTTCCAAAAAAAAAATCAGGGAGACCCTGAGCATCTGCATGATGCCAGTGCCCAGCAGGTATTTCACCCGCAGTAAAGCTAACCAAACTAGCTGCAGAGGCAAAGCCTGAAAAGTCTCAAGGGAACCAGTGGTGGTCAGCAGGCCTTAGCCCCGAGCACCCCTGCCTGCTCACCTCAAGTGTATTGATGCCACTGGGAGTTGATTTAACATGCTGTTTTCCTTCTGGGTTTAAATGAGTGTCAAATCTACCTGGGCTCTCACCTGACCTAAGTTTACCAAGTACAACTTCTCCTACCTGAGAGGGGGTGGAAAGAACTAAACCAGGTGGCCAGGGACAAAAGGCTGAACACTGACAACCCAAGCTGCAGGAAGAGCATCCCAGAATAAATTAAAAGCCTCTGGAAGAAGGAACTGCTAGAGTCAAAATAGTGCCCCATGGGGACTACTGTATTCTGCTGGTAGGAGGGAAAACTTGGGCAACCAACAGAAGGAGGTGTACAAGAACAGTCACAGCAGCATTACACAAAAGCCCAAATATGTAAATAACTAAAATATCCAAGCACAGAACTCTCCAATTTTGTATGCACATATTGACTATACAGCAGTAAAAAAAAGACCTAGTGAACGCCACGCCCTGCCCAGGCGCACACTCGCAGTCAGGACAACCACAGCCTGGGGAGCCAGGCTGAGAGGAGTACCCGTTGCCATCTGACGCCCCCTAGAGGAGGTTTCACAACAGGCGGAGCTCATCTCTGGTGACAAAAGGGAGAAATCAAGGTTGCCTCAGTTGGGTAGCAATGGCTGGAAAGAGACCAGAAGCAGTCTGCCTTCTAAGGTTCTGCAAATGTTTTGCGCCTTAACATGTTTTCACATATGCAAACTGATGGACCTCAGGTATGCACTTAATTGTGCATATGTTTTACCTCAATTCAAAACACTTAAAAAGTGGTTAAAAAGTGGTTAAGACTTAAAAAGAGAACAAGAACTGCAGGTGGGAACAGGTGAGCAGGTTCTAGTGTTTCTCAACATGCTCTATCCTGGTGCTATTTGTCCTTAAAAGGAAAGGAAAAGTCCTCTGCAAGCCAGCTTCTCGAGCATAAATCCTAGACGTGGCAACAAACACAGGTCAGCATGTCTGTCATGAAAAGAATAACTGGAACCCGCGCGCAGCACACGTGGTCAGCCCAGCTCGGAGCACTCCTGGAGAACTAGCCTGGGTACCTCAGGCAGCACACAGAAGAGCTGACCCGTGGCGGGCCCAGAGCCCCCAAGGCCACACTTAATCAGCGCCTGCCTCAGGACCGGCCCATCGCACACGGCGGACGCGTTCTCTGCAGAGCACAGAGCAAGGCTAAGACCAGGGAGCTGAAGCAACTGGAAGGCAGACTGGGGCTCTGTCTTGCAGAGATCTTTCCAGGAGCCCCGCTGCTTTGCAAAGGAACAGGCCACTCCAAGAGGCACTGAGCTCCCTGGCACCAGAAAAAGTCAAGCTGCAGCTCTAAGTCGTCCGTCAGCAAGTTACAGAAACGGGTCAGGCACAGAACGACACAATGAAGGGATAAAATGAGATAATCAAAGCAAAACCCACTCAGAGAGCATGCTGCTTACTACTATAATACACTAGATAAACTTCCATTGAGTAAGAAAGACAAGGAGAATAAAGCAGGGATGCAAAAACATCTCCATTCTCCCTGATAGGCGAAAAGACTGTCAGTGTTAACTTTGGCTTCCAGCTTACCCAAGCCACCCTCCCTCCTCTCCCCACGACACAAGCACCTGGGAGAGAGTGTCAAAGTCTGACTCACTTGTATAATCGCTGAGGGTGTACAGGACAGTGATGAGGTTATCCAAGCAGGGCCAATGGTCAGGATTGCACCGCAGCCCTTCCTCAAAAGCATGGCGGGCCAGGGGGACCCGGATGAGCCTCAGGGCCACGTGTCCGATTTTATACCAGAGGTTGACATCCGTGGAGTCCAGCATGACCGCCTGGAAGCAGCACAAGGAGAGGACGCACACTCAGCCGGCTCTGGCATGGAGGGTGCCGGTGGTGACAGGAGGGGCATGGCACCGGCCCAGCCACTCAAACTACCCAGGAAAATGGCAAGCAAATTACATGGATCGATTTACCTAATTCAGAACATTTTATTGATTTATTTTATCACTCTGAACATCTGTATTTTTCACATATTTGACAGAAGTAAAAGTGAAAGAAGTAGAATTAAAAGAAAATACGAGAGCCCTGTGGGATTTTACAAAAATTATGGGTTCTGGAGATAAGCCTTGGTTCACATCCCTGCTCCTGCCTGGACTAGCGGCATGATCCTGAGCCTCAGTATCTTCGTCACTAAAATGCGGATAAAGACAGCTTCCTTGCAAGAGGCTTAGCACATGCATCCAAAGCAGTTAGCTTGGTGTCTAGCACTTTAGAGGTGCTTACAGAGATGGTGACAATAACATAGAAATAATGGCAATACTACTGTGAATGGGTACAGGGTGCCAGGTGCCAGGCTCCGTTCTTAGCACTTGTATACATACCAACTCATCTAATGTTCACAGTCATCCTCTTTTTTTATTACTCCATTATCCTGGTGTGGACCTGGAGGCCCAGAGAGATTGAGCGCCTCGCCTAGAGTCACACGTGCCCTGAGCAGCAGGAGAACGCACACACATGGGCCCCTGATCTCCAGGCCTCCCTGAACTCACTGTGAACCCCACACACCTGGGCCTCGGGCAACACAGCTCGGTGATGCACCACTACAAATTCTTTTCGGCCGGGAAGACCACAACCTCACCCTCTCCACCGAGAACTTCCAAAAACACCAAGGGAGGGGAGCACTGCCAAAACTGTACCTCCAAGTAGAATTCCATGGCTGTCTCCAGGTCCTCTCGCTGGGCTGCCAGCTGGGCTAAGTTCTTATATGTGGAATATTTCAGCATCAGCCCAGGGTGTTTCAGTCCTTCTTTCTCATCACCAGATGAAACTGCCTGTGAACAAAACGAAGAAGTGACACCAGGCCCTGAAGCCTCGGCAGGCAGTCAGCAGGACACCTGGCTTCCAGGCTGGCCTCTGCCACAGGCCCTTGGGACAGTCTGGTGCTGCCCTCCACTGGAAAATGAAAGCACTGCACCCGATGTTCTCACAGGACCCCTTGAGCTTAGTGCACACAGAAGAGGGCCAGACCACCATGAGGCAGTTTGCAGGTAGTCTGGGCACCCAGAGACACAAAGGGAAACCTGGGGTTTCAAGTTTAGACAGTGACATTTCGGGAAGCCAGCCAGTGGGCCCCCGCAGCAGGTTTGAGGATGGGGGACAGAGTGTGAGGAGACCATCTGGGGACAGCAGGCATGGCCCAAGCTTCTCCCAGGCAGCTAGCATCCCTACACGTCCCTACATGCCCTACAGCAGAAAGCGTACTGGAATAAGAGTTAGGAAGCTAAGCCCCAGACTCTGTAACTTGTCACTTGACCATGGACTAGTTACTTTATAAAGTTAGTGCCCCAAGGAGCTCTGTTAACATGAGGACAATAATTCTTAACCTAAGTATCAAAAGTGAAAATGAGCCCAAAGAGATAAAGATTGTAAATATGCTTTATATAAAAAGTTATGATGACTCTTAGAAAACATTGTAACTTCTAAGAAACCACTGATTAAAGCAACTACTGCTCCAACCACAGGACGCAAAGTAGAAACTGGCTGGCATGGAGGAGTACTTTCCAGGGCAGGTCTATCTCCTTGTCTTGGGATGGATCACACTGATCCATCATTCCTCATGTCCAGAACAGGCAAGACCCAAGGAACCTTCAGGAAACACCTTTTGACTAACCCAAGCAACCTACCCTAGAGCTTTTAAAAGAATCCCATCAAAAACAATGAAGATCTCAAATCAAGCTTCCTTCACCAGTTTCTACTGTTGTCTGCCTTATACTGAAGAAAGATCCCCAAGAAAGGGCTTCCCAGGGTGGGACCCTTTGCCCTCCAGCTACAGAACCGTTCAAAAACTGGTGTGAATATGCTTACAGGGGCTGTGTGCCTACTTCAGAGACTAACTAGTCAGTCCTACATCCACACATAGCAGCACAAGCTAACTAACTAACTTCTATCTAATTGACCAGCTGGATTCAGCACCACTTTCCACGCTCCATGAGACACTCTGATGCCCACAGAAGTCGAAAAGCTGCCCCCAGCAAGCCCCCTCCAGCTTGTCCACCAGCTAAGCCGTACACTTCTTAGAAGTTAGCTGTGTTCCAAGCCTGTTTATGCCACATGGTTTTAAGACTGTAATTACATAGTTTAGTTTACTATTAAGTACACCAGTGCTAGATGAGTGTGAGAAGAAACTTTTCTGTACTTTTCAATTGTTTATAATGAGTTTTATTTTTATAAGAGGGAGAATACAATAATCTTTTAAGGCTAAAAGTGATCTAGAGAAAGATGGACACATCTACAACTACAAGGTTGATACAGAGCCAACGCCCTTCAATCAAAGGCCCTATGCGTGGCCCCTGTCAGGGGCTGGGCCCGCGCAAGATCAGCTGTTCTTAGATTTTCAGCTCAGTGCTGTGTTTACCCACTCACGTTTCCAAGGCCCACTCCACTGTGGCCTGACAGGAAACATCCACACCTGAAATAAGCCTAGCACCTAGCCCATAGCTGGCATTCAGTAAAAGTGGCATAAAATCATTTTCCCTCTCTGGGCCCTCACTCATTTCCTACTAAAAGGGGAAGGGCAAGTCCCAATTCCTACAGCCCTGAAGAATCTTGACCATAATGTATAGCTATACCTTAGGAGTAGGAAGAGACACCTTTAGGGACAGAAGGGAATAGACACTTTCTGCTGACAATTAGAACTCAGCATCTGCCTCATCAGTGTAAAAACCATCCAAGGACAGGGCTTGAGAAGACAAGTGTCTGCCATCCTGGGGTTGTAGGAGACTCTGCTCAACTAAAGGACTACATGGTGCCAAAAACGCCTGTGGGATGAAGTCTGTCTGCTTCCTTACTGCACATCATCTGTGTAGAGTGCTTAAAAACAAAAACGATTCCTCCCAACAAGATACACAGCATCTTCCTAAATCAGTTTCAGGTTGAGACCCATTCCCAAACCTCCAGGTACCATCTCCATGACCCAGCTACCTAACTCGCCACTAGCACGGTCCCCACGCTGGATCCAGGTCCTGCCCTGCCTGCCCCTCTATACAATGCCCATATCTTCAGTGTGGCTCTGCTCCCTCAGCCTGTCTCTATGGTATCCCAACCCTTCCCTCTAACTTCATTTTTCAAAAGCCCATGGCACACCTACACAGGGTCCCTGAACTCATCAGCTAACACCCATATGGTATTTTGCCAAAATGTGCTGCCTATAGGTAGCACATAGGAATCAGAAAACCATGGACTACAATCCTTGCTCTAATGTTTTTCTTTTTTCCTTAGATTTTATTTATTTATTTTTAGAGGGGAAGGAAGGGAGAAAGAGAGGGAAAGAAGCATCAATGTGCAAGAGAAATAACAATCAGTTGCCTCTCATGCGTCGCCCCAACTGGGGACCTGGCCACCAACCCAGGCATATGCCCTGACCAGGAATCAAACCGGCAACCTTTTGGTTTGCAGGATGACACCCAACCCACTGAGCTACACCAGTAAGAGCTGATGTTTCACTGGTTAGGTAGGTCTCCATTCCCAGAACTATAAAACGAGGACAATAACCCCCACCTACTTGTCGCAGTGGGTGTGAAGGTTAAGTAACAGTGACAGCAGACACTTCCAGAGCTCTTACTACACACCAAGAACCATTCTACATGCTTCACTGGATTCATTCAACCTTCAGCGCAAGCCCACGAGGCACACACACTCTATCGGCAGCATCCAAGGTTACAGCCAAGAAGTGAGAGGGCAGAGGTCAGACCCAGGCAACCTGGCTGCAGAGCCTGCCTCCTGGCCTGCTTGAGCCCCACCTCTCGCAGCAGGCGTGCCTCCAGCAGCTCATGATAGGCCTTGGCAGACTCCTCAAACTGGTCATGTTTTTGCAGATCCAGGGCCTTGTGATACAAGGCAAAAGCCTCTGCTTCCTGCAAACAAAGACAGGAGAAGTTTTCACACAAAGGTTTGTCTTTTTTAAGCCAAAATGTATGTGATGGAGGCTGTAGTCAAGGCCCTGTTGACTGTCGGCTGTACCCTCTATAGCAGAAACAATCTGAACACTCCAACCTCCCAGGATCTCATCCCCTAAAATCCTGTTAAGGATAATCTGAATGCACTTAAAATGAGGTGCCATCTACAGAAATCAGAAGCAAGGTCTCCCTGCAGAGGAAAACCATAGATTACATACCTGGGCCTCCTTTGTCTGGGTTTTGTGACTTTTAAAGCTTCCTTCATGATCATCCTCAACCGTGGAACTGGCATTTAAGGCTGCAATTCGAATCTAGAAACAGAGGTTTGACGAAAGAAAAGAGTTGCTTTTAGATGAGATGTTACTTGTCTCTTCAACAGCCCACAATGACTACAACCCTGCTCCATAACCTATTCTGCCCTGAACAGCTAAGGCCTTCTGAGAATGGGGGGAATGAATAATAAATGATCATCTATTGAAAAAGAAGTGTTAGACAGGGCAAGGTCTCAAGGTCTGGGCCATTCTTTCTAAATGTTATTCTTGCTAAATGTTAAAATATAGCACAATATTTTGCAGACCAGCTAATAAACAGGATAAGCTTGGCAGGAATTCAACCAATAAATGAAGCCAACTGCAAAGAAGAAATCAATGTGTAATTGACCAAACAGGGTACATAAGCAATGGCTAAGCCTCTCTTCAGTAGACAGACTCTGGATAAGAATTCTGTGTTCTTTACCTGCTGTCAGTAATAAAACTACCTTGGGTCAACCGCATCTCATTCTTTAATACAGCACCGCAAGCACAAACCCCTTAAGTTCAGTAACAGCAGGACCAGAACATGTCTGAGGGATCATTCCCATCTGTTCAGGGAGCATGTCCTGGGTAGGGTCCATTGCAAAAGGGCAGAGGCTAGGGACACCCAAGAATGACCCAGCATAGAGGAAGACCCAGGAATTGGAATAACAGCTTCCAACAAAATGGGTTACCTGTTTCCCTTTCTAGCAACCATGATGAGGTCCTGCAAGCCACTTTAACAGAAGGTCAGGCATTCACACCCTCGATTGTGCCAGCAGCTCAGAGGAAGGCTGCCCTGCAGTGAGAGCCTTCAGGTTCCACCCAGAAAAATGTCCCTCACCCCCAGGAGTGAAATAACAGAAGAACACTGAGACCGGCAAACTAGGCAAGCCTCAGTCCTTACCATACTCGAGAGCTTCTGCACTGCGGCTTAGCACTGCTTCCCATCACCATCCACAAGTCTCCTGGAGAGGACACAGGACAGGCTGAGAGAGGGCCCGCAAAGAGCCAAGAATGTCACAATGCGAGAAGCCCACCGAGAACCAGTCCCCAAACCCACGGGTCTCCCCGGCTCTAGGCACACAGGCTGTTGAATGACTGCCTAAGCACAGCTGGGTGGTCTGTCACACGGGGAGCCCCTGTCCCTCAGCTTGAGCACGTGCCCTTGCCAGGCAAGACACCGGGTGCCGGGACACACAAGAGTAGGACCAACTCCTGTCCCCAGGCCCTACTGCTCAGCAGAGGCAATGGATCTATAAACAGTTAATTTTTTTCAAAAGTTGAATAAAATAGAAACAGGCAACATCCAAGGGTAGAGAAGAATCATTCATTCAAAGGGATCAAGAAAGAAAGGCAAGGGAGCAAAGTGAGCCCCTGCATTAGCCTCAAGGAAGGGACGGCACAGGAGTGGAGTCCAGTGAGGCAGAGGCAGAGGGAGCAGGCGGCCGACAAGCCAGAGCCAACAAGGGGCCTGAGCGCAGGGGTGGGTGTGGAAGACGGGAGATGCTGCGCCAGGGAGTTGGAACTTTATTCCACAGGCAATAGGGGAGCCACTGTGAGTTTTCGGGAGAACAATACTTTATAAATATAAAGGGGAAAAAATTAGAGATCAGCAGACCAATCTGAAGTCTGCAAGAATGACAGGATGGGTAAAGATGTGGAGAAATCAGACCCTCATACACTACTGATGGGAATGTAAAGCGGTGCAGTCACTGTGAAAATTGGTCTGGCAGTTCCTCAAAATGTCAGATAGAAATTCCACTGCTGGGTAACTATCCAAGAGAAATAAAAACGTATGTCCACACTAAAACCTGGTCACCAGTGTTCACAGGAGCATTATTCGAAACAGCTTAATGGTGAGAAAAACCCAAATGTCCGTCAAATGATGAGTGGATAAATAAAATGTAGTATGTTCATACAATGGATTATTATTCAGACTAAGGTGCTGACTGATATACACCACAATATGGATAAACCTGGACAACCTTATGTTAAATGAAAGAAACCAGTCTTAAAGGCCACATATTGTCTGATTCCATTTACAAGAAATGTCCAGAATAGGCAAATCTATAGAAACAGCATGGAGATTGTGCGGCTAGGGGAGAGGATCACAGTGAGGCAGAGGCTACTCTAACGGGCACGGTGAATGGCTACTGGGGAATGGAGAATGACTACGAACGGGTAGGGTGGGTTTTCTTTCTGGAATGATGAAAATGTTCTAAAATTGATTGTGGTGCTGGTTACACAATTCTGTGAATACACTAAAAACCACATCTTTCATAGGTGACCTGTATGGCATGTAAATTGTCTCAATAAAGCTGTTACTAAACAGATTCTAGGAGCCAGGATGGGGCAGCAGCAATGGGGATGAAGCAGACACATTCCCGGGGGCAGACTCACAGTAGTGGGCATCTGGGAGGCTGGAGGGACCTGCGGTGGTTCTGACCTGAGGAGCTGGGATGGGAGAGGGCACCACCGAACAAGCCAGGGAGGATAGGAGAAGGAGCTAGAAAACGCCCCATCGGTAGAAGGCCCTGGAAGGACCCAGCAGGGAGTAAGAATGAGCCTTAGCAGACAGACTGAACACAACACATGCTCCACTTTTATAAAATAAAACAATCACTACTATTCCCAACAGTGCTTACAGCAACGACTTCTAGCATGGGCTTCCACAATGGGCTCTGAGTTCTCCAAAGGTCTTACCAGGAAAGAAGTATAACCTTTTTCACAGATCAGGAAGACTAGAACTTTCCTAGGCTGGCAGTTATTTTATCTCCTGGGTTCTACATTTAGGAAAAAGAAATGCTGCTGCTTAAGTTTGAAAAAGCTGCTTCACCATAAACCATCTTACGACGGACACAGTGAGCACAACACAGTATGAAAAAATAATAAGATAAAAGTAGAAACTACAGCCTTAAAATCCTGCATTGAGCCCTGGCTGGTGTGGCTAAGTGGGCTGAGCACTGGCCAGTGAACCAAAGGGTCACCAGTTCGGTTCCCATCAGGGCATATGCCTGGGTTGAGGGCCAGGTCCCTGGCTGGGGACATGCAAGAGGCAATCTACAGATATGTCTCTCCCTTTCTTTCTCCCACCCTTCCCCTCTCTCTAAAAAATAAATAAAATCTTTAAAAAAAGAAAACAAACAAAACCTTGCATCTAGCTATTAACAGAGAGAGAAATAAAAATAAGTGTTGACAGGAATCCTTGTGCATTGCTGCTGTGGGGAACAATATGGTGATACCTCAAAAAAATTAAACATAAAAGCCCTGACCAGGTAGCCCAGAGGTTAGAGCACTATCCTGAGACACCAAGGCTGCAGGTTCAATTCCAGCTCAGGGCACATAGAAGAATCAACCAATGAATACATCAATAAGTGGAACAACAAACCAATATTTCTCTCTTTCTCTTTCTCTTTCTTTCTTTCTTTCTCTCTCTCTCCCCCCCCCCAAAAATCAATAAATTAAAAAAATAAACATAAAGTTTCCATATGACCCAGCAATTCCACTTCCCTGATGCATCCAAAAGAATTGAAAGCAGACTCTCAAAGATGTTTGTTCCATGCTCTTGGCAGCATTGTTCACAACAGACAAAAAGTAGGAGCAACCCAAGTGTCCATGAATGGATGGAGGGATGAACAAATTGTGCTATACTCATACAATGGAATAGTATTCACACTTAAAAAGGAAGGCCATTCTGACACAAGGCTACAACATGAATGAAACTTACCTTATGCTAAGTGAAATAAGCCAGTCACAAATGGAGAAATATTGTATGATTCCACTTATATGAGGTACTTAGAACGGGCAAGTTCATAAAGACAGAAAATGGAGCAGTGGCTGCCAGGGACTGGGGGAGGGGAATAGGTAGCTACTGTTTAATAGGGACAGAGTTTCAGTTTTGCAAGATGAAAAAGTTCTGGAGATGGATGGTGGTGATTATTGCGCAACAACTGAACTGCACCCCTAAAAAGTTAAAACAGTAAATTTTACGTTATGTGTATTTTACCACAACCTTTTAAAACCTGCATGTAAGAAATTAATAAAATACAAGAGTTTCCAATAGGGATGAAAGTTGAATGTGTTTTCAAGGTACAAAATGCTATTCCCAATAAAGTCTCAGCCAGACTCTGATGATCCCCGAGAAGGCCAGTGGCCCACGGTGCAGAGAGCAGCTTGAGCCACTTCCTGGTGACTCTGAGCAGAACCCTCAGACCAAGGGGCCAGGAAACACCACGCAGCCCGTTAGAGATTAGAAGTGAGGGAGCTCGTCAAGTCACCACTCCACAGCCACTGTCTTAGTTCACCCACTGGGCTCTGCCCACTGAATCCTACAGGACCTCTAATCCCAATCCCCAGAGCATCACACAGCCTCCATCCAAAATTCCACCTTCACTTACAGAGCAAGCACTCAATAAATACCTTTTGGTTGATTTTTTTCACAATTCTCTTGTTCTAAAAATCTGCTGTTCTTCCTACATCTGAGGCTGTAAGAAGGAAAAACGGAAAGGGCACTGGGTTTGGAATGGGAAGATCTCAGAGTGTGGCCAGGCTCTGCCTCGGGATGCCTGAGTCCCTGGCCCTTTACCAGCCTCAGTTTCCTTGTGTGTAAAATGGGGTCAACAGCCTGACTAGACTGGGAGCTCCTCTGAACAGAAAACAACTAACTCACCAGGATTCCCCACAGCAAGCCTACACAGCATGAACACTCAGGAGGTTCTTGACAAGCTGCAGCTGCATGAAACCAGACACCCCTGTCTCTGCCCCCTGCTACCCTACAGAGGCAGGCAGTTCTCCCACAAAGGGGTAGAAAATACAAGGAGAAATGTTTGGCACTCACACTGAGCCACAGGCCTCTCAACCCCCTCTCCATTGGACAGGTATTAGCTCCAGGTCTCAGCAAGTCTTACCAAATGCCACCTGGTAAGGAGGGCCCAAGGGCAGCTGAGAAACGAGGTCTCTGTATAGCAGTGCTGGGAGAGCATCAGTACAGCCATCATACCCAGGGCCAGTCTACTCCATCAGGAGGAGAGCTCCCCTGCTCTCTGATTCAGCAGCACCTTGCACAAAGGCACCCAATAACCACTGGGATTGTGCTAGGTGCTTGTGCCTTCCCGGGGAGCATCTGTGTACCTCAGCACCAGTGTGGGTTCAGGTCCCATCTTAGAGCTAACAGGAGATACGCTCCCAGGACAAACTGAATAGATAAATGACCAGGCAAGTCAGAGAAAAACAAAAAACAAAAAAAACAGTGAGCTCCAAGTCAACAGAAGGGTTTCTGGCCCTACAGGCTGCCCAAGTCCCTGCCCATCCCTCCACACACCCGCCTCAATAAAGAAAGCACCTGGAATGCTCAAAGCCCCAGAGCACTATGATGAGCTGGGTCAGAAGGCCTTCAAGAAGTCCACAGTACAGAAGAGAAAATAGAACTTTCAACCCTCCTAATTAAATGAAATAAGCCAATCACGAAAGAACGAACACTATGATTCCATTTACACGAGATACCTAGAATAGGCAAATTCAGAGACAGAAAGTATAATGGTGGTTGCCAAGGGCTGGGAGAGGGAAGAACGGGGCGTTATTGTTTAGTGGAGACAGAGTTTTAGTTTAGGAAGATAAAAAAGTTCTAGAGATGGATGGTAGCGATGGTTGCAACTATATACTTAAAAAATCGTTAAGATGGTACATTTCATATAATGTATACTTTACCACAATTAAAAATGTTTTTAAAACCTGAGGGCAGAAAAACAAAAATCTAATAGAAAAACAGGGAAAATATATGAACCAGCAATTCACCAAACAAGACACAACTGGCTCTCAAACATATGATAAGTTCAAACTTACACAGAATTAAAAATAAAAACTTTAACAGTGCTTTAGACACCATTTCTCACCTACCACACCTGCAAAAGTTAAAGTATGACAGCAACTGTTCTCATACATTGTTGGTGGGAACGTAACTTGGTACTACAATCCCTCTGGAGGGGAATTTGACAAAATTACAAATGCAGCTGTCTTTCAACCCAGCAATTACATTTCTAGGCATCTACCCTGAATATGTACCTCCAACAATATGAAAATATGTATGCACAGGGTTATTCATTGCAACACTGTTTGTAATTGCAAAACATTGAAAACAACCTAAACTGCCACAGATAGGTGAGTAGATGTGTAAACTATAGTGCATCCGCACAATGAAGTAACATGCTCCTGTAAAAATTAATGAAGGCATGCTCTAGCGGCATCATTCATAAAAACCAAAAAGTGGAAACAAGCCAAATGCCCATCAACTGATGAAAGGGTAAGAAAAATGTGATACATCTGAACGGAATATTATTCAGCGAAAAAAAATAATGAACTACTGACAACCTGGATGAACTATGAAAACATAGTAAGTCACAGACCACATATTGTGTGATCCCATTTATATGAAATGTTCAGAATTATTATAAATATTTTTATTTTACAACAAAAGCTTGCCGACCTCAAACAAAACCACTCTAAGGATATTTTAGTTCTAACCAGTTATCAATTACACAGAAGGAACCCTAGCTGCACGGAATCCCATCATCTCACAGTTACGACCTGTAGTAACCCTGGCCCCCTAAGAGTTAAGTGGCTCCCAAAGCCACTTGTGCAGACACCTGCGAACGTCAGTAAGTTCATTTAGCCCCGTCTGCCTCCTCCATGGAGGCAGCGCGGTCAGAATTTTCAGTGTGGAGTCGGGATGACCCACTGGTTAGCTGGGGGGACTTTGAACAACTCAGTTCATCCCTCGGCCTCAGTTTCCACCCCAATAAATAGCGATAATACCACTCACCTCGCCGGGCTGTAGTGAAGGTGTAGTGAAAAGACGCCAGTCAAGGGTTAGCGCCGGGCTTTGCACCCAGCAGACGCCGAATCAATGGTGGCTCCCGCTGTTGTCACTGTGAACCATTCCCGAGGCCGGGCCCCGTCCTAGGCACCCCAGGACGGCGGCAAGAGTTGTGAAATGGCCAGAGGAGCAGCCAGGAAGCCCGGCCTCGTCGCTCCCACTCTCCGGCTTCTGTTTCCTTGACTGTGGCACTGGGGCTGCTGGAGTCCCCTGCGTCCGCGCAGGCTCCGGACCCGCGCCCACCACTCCAGGTTCGCCCCTCGGCCCCTGCCCTTGCTTCAGCAGAGCCGCACGCCCGACCCCCGGAGCTACCCTCAAACCCACTGCCCAGGAATTCACCAGGCGTCTCCAAGGCAACGGCCTGTCCGCCCGGACCCCCGCGCCGGCCGGCTGCGCGCCTGACAACAAGACGCGCTCCTATTGGCTTCAGTGCCGGCTCCGCCAGCCAATCAACGAGGGTCTACGCGCCGCTCGCCTGCCCTCGGCTAGCTAAAACCCTACGGGCGACCTCCGCCGCCGCACCGAGCTTGGTAGTGACCGATTCGGATCGTTGGATTTGGTCCACGCGCTTTGGAGGCTTGAAGTTCGATCTCGCGGTCGGACTATCGGCTCCACCACTTGTAATACTTGCGAAGCGCCGAGCTCGGTGCCTAACCCGGGCCGTCGCTAAATGACGCGAGGCGTTATTGTTAACAACCTGGAGCAGGTGCTCTGAGACACGGAAACTTGGGGAAACGCTTGTAAGAGGGAACCAGGGGAGGAACTGCAATCTTTATCGTATTACCTCTACTTCATCTTTTTTGAGAAGGTTTGGAGGCCCCCCAAAATTACAATCAACTATTGAAACAGGAGGAAAATAAAAAAGAAACCAAGACACTGTAAATGAACAGCCAGGGAGGGAGGAAGAGAATTTCAGAGCCTAAAACAGGGTCCAGTATGAAAGGATTTCTGACAAGGCCTTGGGGTTGGGAGCTAACTGGTTTAGGGAAGGACTTCACACTGTGGTTGAAATGCATAGCTACTTGAGTCCAACAAGAATGATTTAAGTAGAAACGAATATTATGGCTTTCTCTTTGACCTTAAAGACAGTAAAATCATGACGAATTCGAGAGTCAGTTCAGAACAACAACGCTTTACTGACATGCCAAGAATTACAAAAGTAATTGTCACCAACCTTGATTTTGAGAGTATATATAGCCTTGGGAGAGGGGCAGTGAACAGGAGCACACAAATGGTTTCAAAGTCTCAATGGATAACATGAAGGCTTGCATGTAGCTCCCGCCCTCAACTTGTACCTTGAAAGATGCTCTGGAGTAAAAGTTGAAAAAAGATGGGAAGGGTGGCCCAGGCACAAGGGATCTGTGTGGCAAGGGTTTTGAGGTGAGAAACAGTGAGGCCAAGGACGAGCCTCTGGCAGCACCTATTACCAAGGGGTAAAGCTCACAGTCAGTGTATGGAGATAATGCTGGAGCAGGGCAAGGGGCCAGTCCCTACAGCAAACAGATAACATCACTCTCACTAGAGTGGTGATAAAAGATTTAAGGTGGAGAGAGACCAGATAGGAGGTTGTTCTTGCCTTGTGGTCCTGGATCCCTCCTTGGGTACTTCACCCATTCATTCACATTCAACCCACATTCCCTGAACCCCTCTGGGATGTTGGCAGAAGGAATGAGTGCAGAAACAGTTGGGACAAGTTGCCAGGAGAAGGAACTCCAAGCTGTAGCTTTTAATGAGAGTCCTCAGTGGTGATCTGGTCCAAACACAAAAAGTAGGCAGACACATGTTCCACTGGAAACTGTGTGTGTGTGTGTGTGTGTGTGTGTGTGTGTGTGTGTGTAAAAAAATCAGGCTGAAAATCTCAACTTGTTATTTCACTGCTACACTAAAGACAAGGGTGACCAAATCTTTAACTGTGCCAGGATACAGTGCCCACACTACATTTATCCTCTAAAATGGGAAAGCATGGTATGGTATTGGGGGAGAGTGGGAGAGATCCCATTAGTTCAGTTTCCAACAGCAGATACTGCATTTCCAGGTTTGCCTTTCTGGGACATGGTACACAGCTAGAGAATTCTCAGCAAGACTCACAGGATAAGATGGGAGTTTGGGAATGCCTAGGGAAGGTCCCTGACGCCCAGCCTGTCTGGCTCCTCTGCTAGGCACAGCAATCTGTGGGCAGGGAACTACCTAGGCCAGCCCAGGATGAGGACAGGAATATCTGGTCAACAGAGTCAGCAGGAAGGCCCAGGCTGTCAGCCCCTCCCGAGCAGCCTGCACATGGGCATGGAGAACAGGGCCTCCAAGCTGAAACCTCAGCATCTTCCAGTTTAAGCAGCCTACATACATGAGACAGAGAAAATCCTGGAGATAGGAACGATCCCACATCCCAGGTTCCCTAAGGTCCCTACCTCATAAACCAACCCCACTGTCCAGGGCGGACCAGAATGCTTTAGTGAGGTAAAGAAGTCATGTTTGAAAGACAAAGCTCTCTTCATTTATTTGGCATGAGAATGGGGAAGAAGAGGATTGTGAGGCCACAGTCATGTCCACACGTGGGGCTGCCAGAGGCTGGTATCCACCAGGCCCTCACTCCGCCAGCAAACCTCTCTGGAAGAGGTGACCAGCTCACAGATGCCCTGGATGAACTCCGTGCCAATCACAGAAAAGTCATGACCGTCCCCTTCTTGCCAATCTGCCAGGGCTCCAGGGGGAAAAAGCGGATAAGTATCCTTCAAGGGACAGAGAAAAAGATGTCATCAGCTACTTGGCCAATGCCTCATATTCCAAGACCCCTAGCCAGACATCCCCACCATGGGCTCCCAGGCCAGCCTGCCTTAACCCACCAGGTATTTTGCAAGCCTGCCTTCCCCTGCTATTGTTCTCCCTTCAACAAGGCAATGGGCACATCACGGGAGAGATGGTGGCTGTACATCAGTGTGGCCCACCCAGGACTATACTGACAGCCAGAACTTCTTTCAATTCCGCTAGCACCCCGAAGATGGACCCAACACCAGGGGACCCCAGGACACTAGACCTTTCTTGGGCAAGGTGAGGAATGTTATTTTTCTCCCCCGACCCCAGGAGGAGCCCTGACGTGGGATTACTGCCTCCGGTCGCGCAGCAAACCCGAGTGTCCTCTCCCTACGCACCGGTCCTGGCCCAGTGCCAGCTCCTTGGTGAGGAATTCGAAGAAACGGGAGCTGTGGCCGCGGTTCTCCTCGGCCGTGCCCACCACACCGATGGAGGAGACTAGCAGCTGCGCGCAGGGCTCGGCAGAGCCACTCACCGCCATGGCCAGCCCGGGCCGCACCGTCACGTTCACGCGCTGCGGGGGACACGAAAGTTTCACCTGAAGCCGGCACAAGCCAGGCCTGCGCTGAGGACCCGCGAGCGCAGGATCGGAGACGCGCGAGCCCCGCAGAATCAGGGTTAGGGATATGGGCCGGGGTCCTTGGAGGTCACTTCGGAGTCATGGCTGGGGAAGGCGATACTGAGAAAACGGGGGGTGGGGGGGCCGCCAGGTCAAGGAGAGCGAGAAGTCAGAGCTTGGTGGGGGTCCCCAGGAGGAGGAGTAGGAATCACTGTGGGGACATCAGGCTGTGGACAGAGCTCGACCCCTAGTCCATCACCCTCTTCCAGCCCTGTGCTCCCCAGCCCGCGCTCACGTCCTCGGGTTTGCCCAGGATGGCGGCGGTAGCTGCGCAGAGCCGCTTCTCCAGCCCCGCCGGCACGCGGCCAGCGGGCAAATTTGTGTCCAGCTCAACGAACGGCATATCCGGAAGGAAGGCGTGCGACCCTCCACGGAGAAAGAAAACTGCGGACTCAGACTCTGTTCCCAGGCCCCGGGACTAGAAAGCAGGGGCGGGACGCCACGGAAACCGGGCTCCTCATTGGTTTTGCAGCACACAGCGCCTCCCGATTGGCTGCCTCGGCTGCACCCCTGGCTCCAGTGGACAATCTTGTGGGCCGTGGCGCAGATTTCCGGAAGTCCTGTTGCCCGGCCCACCTCGTCCCATCCCCGCCCCGGCTCCAGCCGCTCTGGCTTTGCAGAGCTGCGGTCCTCTGTTGTCTACCGAACATTTAGACGGAGGTCTGAGCACCCCTAACCACACACATACCTCTAGGGACCTTCCCCAGGTTTGACCCTAAGGACGTTACATCGTCACAAAGAAATTGCTTTTAATGAGTTGCCACTACCTCAGTTAGGTAACTTCACGTTCAATATGAGAATCTGCACCTCTCTTGATCAGGAGACAAGATGACACGTGTGGGTGACACGTGGGGTTGGGCAAGAGATGTTAGGGTTCACTGAAATCCTGCCTGGCCCAAACGTCTGCCCTTGTGTCCTCTTGAGCCTGCAGCAACTTTGCCTCGGAGTGAGGAAACCTCCTCCTGGGGATGGGAGCCAGGTCCCAGTAGAATTACCAACAATGTTTATGGTAACATTTTTATGGCAAAACAAAAAGTGTTATTCATTTTCCAGTGATTTTTATTTTCACAAAAGCTGTTTAAAATATGGAAATCTGTTGTTGTGGATAACCATGCTATTACCACCAGTGTTTTGAAGTTATTGGAAGTGTAAATGAAAATATAATTGAAACCCTGTGGGTGTATATGAATAATTTCAATTACACATCTAAAATTCTATATGTGCGCATATTAAAGGGGCCTCAATGGGAAAGCAGGTAAGCTGACTTTCCACGAGCGGCTGTCTGTCCATGACCCTGAGCCATTAGCAGTTTACAGGATGATCAAAGGCTCTGGAACACAAGGCAAGTAGGTTGTCACGGTCTTGAGGGGAAAGGGCAAAGTCAGGTGGCAAGTCTGGAACCCACAGTGGGGCATGGATAAGACTGTGGTCAGAGTTACAAGTACGCTTGGGAGAGCAACGCCTCTCAGCAGCTCCTGGAGGACCAGGAAACAAGCTGGGACTTCCCTCCCTGCAAGGAGGTTCATGCACTAGCCTGTACTCCACTGTGGGAGACCCAGAAAGCCAGGAGAGAGGGCTTCCCTGACTCAGACATCTCTTCACGAGGTAAACATCCATCCATGACACATGCTCAGCCCACAGGACATGGAACCAATTTCCTGCCAGGAGAGAAGGAAGCAAGCACTAGGGCTGAAGAGCCCAGAGAGGTCACCTGACCCAGCCTGGGGCTGGAGAGATCAAGGACAACTCCCTGGAAAAGTGACATGGTGACAAATGCCCAAAGGTTGGGATGGGGGGTACAAGACAAAGGTGAGGAGCAGTTCCGTTAGCAAAGGAATCAGCATGAGCCAAGGCCAGGAAGCTGAGGCAGGAGTTGTAAGAAAGGCTGGAAAATGATGGGTTACTGTGTGCAACCAGAAGGGAGAAGCCTGGGGGTTGGGAGCAGAGCCTGGAGGCAAAGTTCAATGACCGGACCCGTACTATACGTAGCCTCAGGGCAGTGAGGCTCCAAGGAAAGTTTCAAACACAGGAAGGACGGTCAAATGTGTATTTACTAAAACTCTTTCCAGAAATCACACAAAAAGTTAGAGTGGAAGCTGCAAAAGTGAAATAAGGCAATAAACAAAAGAAGGAACGCAGGCCTGATGTATGGAAGGACCTGGGGACCAGAGACTGTGCAGGGTATCTTGCTCATGGCCAAGGAGAGAAGTAGCCCTGTCTCTTTATTTTGACAGTCTCCATCATTGGCGGCAAGGCTCGCTCCTACTCAGTGCAAGAAAACCTGCACCAAAGGCTTCAGCTTCTCTTTCACGGCAGTGTCTGCTGGAGGCAGGTCCTTGGCCTTCATGATAGCGTTGTGGGCCTCCCAGAAGAGGTCCTCCCCCACCGCGGCCTCCACACGCTGGCGCCAGGCAGCCAGCTTGGGTCGGCTTTCGAAGACAGGACAGCCAGCACTGACGGGCTATGGGAGAAGGGAGCCAGGTGGAGGGGGCTGGGCATGGTGAAGCACAGGAGAGCATGACCTGGTTTAGGGATCCACTAGGTGGATTTTCCCTCCTCTGCCCCATGTGTGATAGGCTGGAGGTTCTCTCCCTGGAGATACTGAGAAGCTCCTCAGTATCCCTGCAGTGTGGGGTTTTAAAGTCCCATTTTATGGATGAGGACTCTGAGGCACAGAAGGAAGAGAAGTGGCTCACACAAGGTCCCACAGCCAGAAAGGGCAACATGAACTAGTACATTGGCTCCCTCCCGGGACACCCCATTCCCCAGCGGGCAAACCACCCCATGGCACTCACATGCATCAGCTCTGTGATGGCCACCAAGTCAGCCACCGAGATGCGGGGCCCAGCAAGGAAATCTTTATCCTTTAGGAACTTGTCTTCAAGCAGCTGTAGGCACTTGTCCAGCTCAGCCAGAGTACATGCCAATGTCTCGGGGGGCACCGGTTGACCCAGGAACACAGGTAGCATCATCTGGTGGGTGGGCAGGCAGGAGAGGGCTGAGGCTCTGCCCAAAAATCAACCCGGTTTCTGTTCTCATCTAATTTATCACTAATCCTTCGGATTTCTCCTTTGTTCCCACCCTCGTCCTTCCACCCGTAACCACCATCTGCCCAGGTCTCATCTCCTACTCAAACAGGGACAAGCTCTACCTCTCCCTGGGCCCTCACCCAGAGCAGCCGGGGGTCCACCTGCAATCTCAGGCTGCCCATATCATTTCCCTGCATAAGGCCTCCCTCCCATGGCCCCCACGGCTCTCACCGCAACGGCCTCACCGCCAGGCCCTCGCCAGTGTGGCCACCATCCTCCCCCACTCTCCACCTCCTACCCCACCCAGACTTCTCAAATGGGAACGTGCCTGCAAACCCCTCGGGATATGGTTCAAGTGCACATTCCTAATCAGTATGCTTGAGTGGCGCCTGAGACTCAGCATTTCAACGAGCTCCCACGTGACGCTGACACTCCTGGTCTACGGACCACACTTAAGAGGAGCAAAGGTCTCCACTCACTCTACTTCTCTCCATTCTGCACTCAAATGCACCAGGACCCTGCCCGCCATCAGCTCAAGGGGGCTCCTCTCCCAGCCCCTAGAAGCTCAAGACAATGGAAACCTACTTTTTGCCAAATGGCCCTCCAGAACAGTGGCACCCTACCTGCAGAAGAGTATCCGCATGCCCCTCTCTCACCCCCTCACACACGCAGGGCACCCACTGTGTGCCAGCACTCTGCAAATAATTACTGAGTACACATTCCAAAAAGTACCTGCGCATTTAATAAGTAAAAAATGGCATGTAAGTGCTGTTTTAATATGCATTTGCTTGAGTGTTACTGAAGTTAAATATGTTTTCATTCACTTATTGACCATTTCTCTGTCCTTCCATTAAATCCCTGCTGGCTTCCTTTGCCCATATTCCTCCTGTGTCCATCTGATAGATTCCCAAGAGCATCTTAAATATTAAGAATGTCACTTCTTCCCCTGACTGGTGTGGCTCAGTTGGTTGGGTGTCATTCTGCAAGGCAAAAGGTCGCCAGTTTGATTCCCAGTCAGGGCACATGCTTGGGTGGTGGGTTCAGTCCCCAGGTGGGGCACATCTGAGAGGCAACTGATTGGTTTCTCTCTCACATCAATGTTTTTCTCACTTCTTTCTCCCTCTCTTCCCCTCTCTCTAAAAATAAATAAATAAAATCTTTTTAAAAAAATGTTACTTCTTTCTATCATATCTTTGCCAAGATCTTTCCCAGTTTTTTGCTTGTTTTAAATTTAATCCTTTTTGTCCCTTCACAAAATTTCATTGTCATGTGTAAAGTCATTTAGGCTTTTCTTTAAGTCTTCCATGGTTCTTAGGCTTCAAAATCCTTGCACACCCAGAAACCAGATCAACTTTATTGAAATGTCTCTTCATTTCTTCCTAGTTTAACTTTTCACATAACACCTCTCTATGCAGAAAGTATGTGTGTGGTAAAGTGAGGATTTGATCTTTTTTTCCCTCTCCCAAAAGGCAATATTTCCAGGCAGCCCAGAGTGTGCAAAGGGGCATAGGATTAATTTCCAGCAGGTCAGGAATTAAGGCACATTGGGTAGACACTCCCTGGCTCTGCCTCAATTTCCCCTCAGAAAAAATAGCTGGTTGGAGTCTCTGGCATTCTAGAATTTGGTGTTCTAAGGTCTTAGGTCTGCAGAGAATGTTTTTAATGGAAAGCACCATCCACAGAGCGCCCTGAGAGGGGTCCCGGCTCCCCGGGCTCACCTTCTGCCACATGGCCCGGGTGCAGGCACTCCGCAGAGCCGTGTGCTGCCATGCCAAGTATTCATCCACGTGGGCACGGGCCTGCAGGTCCTGGGGGTACCAGTGGTCGGGGGCCTCATACTTTCGGCTGAGATACAGCAAGATGGCCACACTGGGAGGCACGATAGGAATGAGGGAGATGTCCCAGTCACTTTTCAGCTACTCCACAGGGGTCAGGCCCTGGGTGGGGCAGGACCCTGCCTCTGGCTCGTGTTTCCCCAACTCCTGTGGGTGGCACATCTCACTGTCTGCACGGTGCAGAGTAGGGATGCGAGGCTCAGAGAGCTTAGGTGGCTTCCCAGGGTCACACAGCTCTACCCGAGTTATCCTACCATCTGAACTAAGGGCACCAAGTAAAAAACAAAATGTTAATGGATTTCAGAAGGGGGGTGCTCAGAGAATACTTCTACAAAAAAAGGGCACCCAGCACGGGTCCTAAAGGATGAGAACAACTCCATCTCTACTCCCCAACATATCCGAAGCATGAGCGTGACAGGAGCAAAGCCAGAAGCCCCTCCCAGCCCTGGCACCTCTGGCCACATCAAGCCACTCTCCACCCTGGGGCTGGCACAGTTGCTGTGGTTACATAAACCGTGATCCAAGCCATCGACAGTGCACACACAGATGGAAGGCTGACAGGCCCCACACGACAATGCAGCAGTCGAGGGACCCATTACCTCTCAGCCAAGGTGAAGTCCCCATCCTTCAAGGCTGGCACCTTCCTTAGGGGGTTCACCTGTGCAAAGGCATCACTGAGGTGCTGACCTGTGGGAGACCAGTGAGGCAGTAAGGAAAACCCTGAGCCTCCCCCCGCCCCCCGAGGTCTCTGTCCACCCCCATCCAGCATCCAGGACCTTTCTGAGGCCCCCTATCCAGGTGGGGCATCAGGGAAGAGGAGGCCACCCCACTCACCAAATCACAGACCCTGACCCCACCAGGGGGCCATCATTCCTGTGTCCATCCCCTTAGAACCTGGGCCAAGCAGCATCTTGTCTTGGGTTTGGAAAACAATTTCCTGAATCTATAATGCACATACGTACAGCCAGTCAATCCATGTCAGACATGACAGCTTGCCCCCTACAGTCCATCTTCCTATGCTGGCTGAGTGACCTGTCCATACCCCAGCGCTCCAGCCACACCTGTTTCCAGCTCTCAGTCCTTCCTTGGTCTCACCAGAAGCTCCTGCCCGTCAGGCACCCAGCCTCCAGCAGCTCCGCTCTTCTCTTTCCAGTGCCAAATCCTCAAGGCTCCTTCCTCAATGGGGGCTCCTAAGTCTCACTCAATTTTGCATACCTGCAGCCCAGGCCAGTGCTGAAGCTACACCAGTTAATGTCCATGGAGTCAGACAGCCTCAGTGGAACCAGGCTTCAACCTGGCCATAGGCCCCGCTGTGGATTTTTGCTCTTTGCCCTTCTACTGAATGGACAGAATCACCCCTACCCAGTCTCCCTCTAGAAACTGCTTATGTGTCCAGCCCCTATCCCAGGGAGGGCTGGAAAAGCAGAGTAAGGTGGCAGCATAGCAGCTGGTGACCTAGGCCAGGGGCACCAAAGACAGAAGTGGGCAGGCTTAGTCAAGGAGGGGCCTCCCTCCTGGCCCGCTCAAAGGGCTCTGGATCTGAAGCTTACCCTACTATTCAGTTACAGCCTTGTCCCCTCCACCAGATTCTGTAAACGTGGAGGGGACCTAGACAGGGGTAGGTAGGAGTAAAGAAGAAACTAGATCCAGATGGAACAACCTTCTCCGAGGAGATGCAGAAACTCAGAGATGGGGAGTACTCCTGCTAGTAAATGACGAGGCAGTTTCATTGCTTTCTCCAAGCCCCGTTGTAGAGGTACCGGGGCACTCACTCCATTTCCCCATCCCCACCCCCAAACTCTAATGATCTCTACCTGCCCTACTCTCTCTTAACCTATATTTAAAAGAATGTTTAGATATCACAAGGCAAAGGTCGAGCCTCTTAAAAACACCCAAATAACTGATGCTACGTTTCCGAGCTGGAGAGTCTGCACACGCAGCTGGGCCCTGAGGCGGAGCCAGCCGGCGAGAGTGGGTCAGCACACTGGCGGCCCAGACCCCCAGAGCCCACCTTTGAGCAGCTCCACGGTGCGCAGCTCAAAGGGGATGCCGTTCTTCTTGGCGAAGATGTAGACTGCGCGGCAGGGCTGGGACAGCAGGTCCAGGTAGAGCTCCAGACCCATGAAGAGGGCGGTAGACAGACCGACCGAAGTGCGGGTTTGGGCAGACCCGGGTACAGGACCGGGAACAGCTCGCAGTAACCGCCCAGCCACCCGAGCTTACCTAAGAGCTCGAAGCCAAAGCCAGAGTCCGGCCACGCCCTCCCCGCCTATTGGATAGCTCCGGGGAACTTTGGGCCAATCAGCGGCGCCCGAGGTCTCCAGCCTTTCCTCTCCCGGGGTCCGCGCTGCGAGCCTCGGCGGGGAGGCACACGGAGATCTGGACTTTCAGTTGAGGTCTCACGGCCAGACCACATCCCTTCTCTGGACCTCAAATGTCTACCTTTGTCAAATAGGACAGCGGGAATGATAATGGGAAATGGGAGGCCAAGGGCGCTCCAGCACTAATCCTCAGCGAATTTTCCACCTCCCCCACCCAGGGAGGAGGCTGAGCCGGAATCGCTGACAACACTAGGGAGGAGGAAAAAGGGCCGGGGTGGGGGCGGGCGCAGAAGCCTCTCCTGAGCCCAGTGCCCAAGGGCCCAGGGCCCAGGGCCCAGGGTGGAGGATGGGACGGGTGTCTGGACTTGCTTTCTGCATAGGCCTAACCCCACATTCCAAAAAAGATTTAGCCGCTCCTCCCCAACCCCTGGAGTCAGATCCATTACCCTCCAGTAATCCCTTCCTGGAAGCAGAGGCCCCGTGAGGCTCATCTAGGGGCTTGCAGGGGGGCCTAAAACTTACCCCCTTGTTCAGCAGGGCCAAAATCCTCCAACTGTGACGCTGGAGCTCCTCAGGTCAGGGGCTATAATGCCATATTCTCTAAGAGAGCCTCCTGGGTTAAGAAGACTCTGTCCCCAAACTCAAGATTGAGAGAAAGCCACTTGGCAAGAGGATCAGTTACTGGAAAACTTGAGAATAGCTTGGCTTCCCTGGTCTCCCACGCCCTCCAGTTAAGGAAGGCCTATCCCCCTAGGATAGCACCTTCCTGGCCCCGTGCTGCATGCAGCCCTCTCCAGGCTACAAGGAACATGCTCCCCATGCCCTGCAGTGGTCTGCCCTCCCCTACACGTGACCTTTGACTGGATTACAGCAATATCCAATCTCCCTGCTTCCTGGCCACCCTCCAGTCCAACCTGCACCAGGAGCCGGAATATTATTCTAAAACACAATCTGAACACACCATTCCTGTTCATGGTTTACAAATCCTAGGCATGACATTTAAGGTTCTGAGTGACTGAACCTTAAATGTCCTGACCCCTAACAGAATGAAATGCTTGGCCTTTCTTTGACACCATCTTGTTCGAGCCTGCTTTGTTCCCATGGCCTTCAGGCTAATAGCTTCTCCTCAGTCTTGCATAGAGACATGCTAATCATTAGAGGAATTCTACTGAGGCCTGATTTTCACGAAGAGAGCCCCTCCCATTTCCCCCGTTTCTCGAAGCTTGAACTCTGTACGTTGGTAAGATGTATCTGAGGAACCCTAAGGCTCCCATCTCCTCAGCAGGCACCTTTCCTTACTCTGTCCAACTCTTGACAATTTTGAGTTTTGGTCTTTCAAAGCATTGGGCACAGGAAACTTGGACTGGTAACAACCAGGAGTGGTGCTGTTCAGTTTTTCCCCCTCCCCCAACCAATTCCTCAGGATAGATCCAGGATTCATAGTATTTGGTGCCAAAGGCCACATCCTGGGAGGCTGGCCCAGCCAACTGATCTACCACCATGCCCACAGCCAACACATGGGCAATGGCTGCTGACCCCCATGCTGATAAATTCCTTTCTCCAAGAATTAGAAGGCTAGAGGGCTGTTTTTAATTTCATTTTTGGCAACCATCAGGGGGAAGCTGACCCAAAGGGCCCAGGAAGGGGTGTTGTCTTTTGGATAGAGACCAAGGCCAGAGCCAGGGCAGAAGGAGGGTCAAATAAATCACACATCAGAGTTAGAAGGAGAGGCTCAGGCTAAGCCAAGGTTTATTTCCCAAACTGAAAACAAAATGTAGTGATTAAAGGAGGCAAGCTTTGGGTATGCCATTCTCATCATGGCTTTCAGGCAACTGTGAAAGATGGGGTAGGGCTGGGGACCTGGCCTGAGGGGTTATGGGATGTGGGCAAGTCACTCCTGCTCTCTGGGTCTGCCTCCTAAGGCACATTGAAATGAAGGTGCTCTGTGAACTGCCAAGGGCAGAAGAGGGGCAAGGCTTCCTGTCTCACTGGATCATGACTAGCACCCGAGGCATCAGCTTCTCCTTTACGGAAGGGTCTGGAGGTGGTAATTCCTTGACCTTGAAGATCATTTCATGGGCCTCCTGGAAGAGGACCACTCCCACTGCTGCCTCCACGCGCTGGCGCCATGCAGCCAGCTTGGGTCGGCCTTCAAAGATTTGGCAGCCAGCACCCACGGGCTGTAGGGGAAAAGGAGACAGGACAGGATAGGGGTGGATGGGTGAGGCCAAGGATGACAGCATCTGCCTAGTTTGGGGACCACACAGCTCCAGTAGAGGTCACCACAAATAAGTACAGTCCCATAGCCAGGCTGGGGGTGGCACGAGCAGGACTTTGGCACCAGCCCTGCCTAGCGGGCCCACCCTGCCCACAGCACTCACATGCATCAGCTCCGTGATGGCTACCAGGTCAGCCAGGGAAATGTGGGGCCCTGCGAGAAAGGCCTTGTTCTGGAGGAACTTGTCTTCAAGTATCTGCAGGGTCACATCCAACTCAGCCAGTGTGGCTGCCAGCACCTCAGGAGATACGGGCTCACCCAGGAAAAGAGAGAACATCACCTGGTAGATGGGTAGGCAAAGTGGGCGTCGGGGGGTTAGGAGCCAGCCCAGCCTTGGAGTCAGGAAAGGCAAGCAACAGCCACCCCCGGCCTTGGAGCTGCTTCCTGATCCACCTTTCTCCCATATCCTGGGTAGGGTTGCAGGGAAATTCCAGAAGGACCCCGTTTTCCTGAACTATTCCTGCTTCCATGAGTTCTGATTGGCTGAGCCTCAGAGGCTTCTGAAGGACTCAAGCCCCCTTGATAATGACTCAAAGGAAACCCGAACTTTGGTGGAGGGGAGGAGGCTTGCTTAGAAACTATATATTTTATAACCTCTTTTCTCCTGATATAAAATCAGTCCCTTTTACAATATAAGTATTTAGTAGTGTGGTTTTTTAAGGTCTCCATTCTGTCACTTACAAACTGTGTGACCTACAGCAAAATATGCAAACCCTCTGAGCCTTGGCATCCTCATCTACAATGTAGGAATAACAGTACTTGACTCATATTGTAAATATAAAAGTGATGCCCAGAAGGGGACAGTCAGTTTCCAGAGATGACACAGCCAAGAAAAGATTGAGCCAAGCGTGAACCAACTGGGTCTCCTGACCCAGTGAGCAACCAGTAAATAAGGAGGAGAGCCAGGGGAGAAACATGTCCAGGATTTAGGGAGAGTGTTTTAGGGCAAAGTTATCAATAGCCTCAGGCTTGACAGCTGTCAGGGAGACAGTGGATAGGGAGCACGGGACGGGGGCTTCATGCTGGGCGCCATTCTGAGAGCAGTAAAGTTGCTTGGAGGAGCCTGGGATTCAGAAAGGGTAAACAGGACTGGGACTACACTCAGACCCTGGCTCGGGCTTCAGTTCCCAGCCCCATACAACGAGGTAAGGGTGGCCCCATACAAGAGGTAAGAGTAGGGATCACAAACTGGTGGCCTGGAGGCCACTGCTGAGCTAATGACATTCCTTTGGCTAAAGAGTTTTTTAAAATACGCATCAGCGGTTGACATTTAAAAATGGAGACATTTCCTATGGAAGCCCAGACTTCCAGCTTTCTTTTAACATAAAGGGAGCTGACCACAAGGGGTCACCATCGCTATCTGGTAACCCTGCTCAGCGTCAAAGGCTGACGCGGGGAGAAGCTGCCCCTTCAGGTGGGGCGCGTGCACTCTCAGTCCGAGGGACCCCACCTAGCCCACCTCCCTCATTTATTACCTACCTGCCTTGCACTTGCAAGAAACAGTCTGCATTTCCCTTCTGTTCCAGTTGGGTGGTTCCAAAGCTCTTAGGGTTTTAAAAAGTGTTTTTGTTCCTTTTTATATATAAATGACCATAACAGGGTAATAAATTCTGACTTATTCACATGATGAGATACTATAGGAGAGTTAAAAATTAATAAATTATATCCACCCAGAACAATATGAAAAAAATGCAAGTTGCAGAGTGGTATGAGAGCATTTATACAAATGTTTAAACACTCAAAGCAAAACTGTATTTTGCTTATAGCTATACATACATGTGGTAGTGTATAAAATCATGAACTAGAAGGACTTGCACCAGATCCCAGAGGGACATAGCTCTCAGGGAGGACTGAGGACAACAAAGATGTCTTTTGACTTTTGTTCTATAATGATTATTTCTCATATAAAAAATTATATGATTCAGAACAGTAACACACATGATCCAGAATTAGCCATACATTTTTTAAAATGAGGAGTTCCACTTCTGATCAGGATGTCAACAGTCACCAAAAAAGAAAAACAAAAACTTTGCTCCCACCACAGCCACTCTGGAAAGAAAATAACCTTATTTTTCTTTAAAGCCACTGAAGAGTTATAGAACTTTGATAAAAAGGAAGGAAAAGAAAGAACAAAAGAAAAAAGCCTAAACTTGTACTGTCCAATACAGTAGCCACTAGACTCAAGTGGCTATTGAGCTCTTGAAGTGTGACTGGTCTTAGATGTGCTATACATGTCAAATACATACCAGGTTCTGAGAACTTAGTACCAAAAAAGGAAGAAAAAAGAAAGCAAGATATTTTATCAATAAATTTTCTATTGATTACATTTTAAAATGACAATTAAAATTTTTAATTTTTTTATCTATTGACTTTACAGAGAGGAAGGGAGAGAGAGAGAAACATCGATTTGTTGTTCCACTTATTAATGCATGCATTGGTTGTTTCTTGTATGCACTCTGACTGGGATCGAACCTGCAACCTGGGGTTATTAGGACAATGCTCTCACCAACTGAGCTATCCAACCAGGGCTAAAAAATTTTAATTATGGCAACACATGTCATAAAATTTACCATTTTAACCAATTTTAAGTGTCCAGTTGAGTGGTATTAAGTGTCTAGATTTTTATACAGCCATT